TCAATGCTAACCCTTGATACTCCGTACAGGCAACACGTGTGAGATTAGGGGAGGAAGGAGTTGGTTGGTTCTCAACCCCAACCAGTCTCACCTTGAAAGATGATGAAGGTGGTCACCACATTGAACCACTGACAGCTCTTGGATATGTTCTCCCACGGCACAGGCTCAAGCAATGTAGAACCTATCAACTCATTGGGCCTCTTGGGATTGACTCCAAAACTGAAGAAGCCTTCATCAAACATACTCTTGACACACGCATTGAGGTTGGAACCCACTGTCCTGATCTGGAAGCTCTTGCTGGGAGATCCATGCTTAGTGGCCTTGGTAAGGTGCTCAATGTTACCTTTGACAACGTGGCCATTCCAAGGGTTTGGAATTTGACTGTCACTGCACAGCACCATTGCTATGACCCTGTTGTAAGTCCATGGTCTTTGTTATTTCTTGAAAGTGACAAGATATTGACTCCCGGCACCCAGAACAACCACCTAGTTGCATTTGACGTCACATATCGCTTTCTTCATCTCAGTCCACGTCCAGCTGATTGGGGGAACATCTACGCAGGTACAACATGCTGGTTCAATGGCACAGTACAAGGGAGAGATCCCATCTCCAAAAATTTCATAGTTAGAGTACACTTTTTTTCTAACCAAAAACCTCGTGATGTAGGCAAACATAACTGACTTTGTGACTTCCTTAACAGGTGCGCAACTACTCTTTCTTAGGCCGCATCCGCGAGCTTCCCTGATGGGATGCAGTTACCCAAAGCAATTCTTGCCCGTGACTAATGAGTCAATTTCTTCAGATCACCGCATGTTGTTGAATTACTCTTTCCACTCATTCTTCAATTTACACTCATTTGACCCCCCACATTCACTTGAATAACTGCAATTGTTCTCAATTAACAATTGAGCTTGACACGATTGTGTTATTGTTACATTAAACTTCAACAAGACTTCTCAAAAATCGTATTTCCAACTCAAGGGGAGGGTTTCAATCAACCCCTCACCCACCATAAGAGACCGATAAAAAGAATTTATCAAGAGGTTTGAATACTAATCATTAATGATTGGAGAATGAGTGGTTCCCCCACTCAACACAACAGATATCAATTTCTAGAAACCAAATTTTCTTGGCTGTTACCTTAGCGTAACATGTTTTCAAAAGGTTGAATTGGAGAAAAAATTAAAGCATAAAAAAAACAAAGTAAAACCTTCAATATTTGTGATGTTTAAGCGTTTGATTTTTAAAAATGTATTCTCATGTATTCCAACCTACAGGGCCCCTTCTCCAAGGAACTCCATTCCTGGGCGTTTGTCCAGTTTCTTTGTCAGCCAAGCATTCCTGAAATATAACATCTCTTCCAAAAACAAGTTGTATACAAGTGGGTGCATATTTCTACACATTGACGCAAATCCCCCATACCAAATATTACTAAGTTCTCCTGCTGAAGCGTTAAAGATCCAACTTCCGTCTTCTTGGATATCAGGAAAGAGACTTGGGTCAGTGAATAATCGGCAGAATTCATCGCTTTCTGCATGGGAGCGATGGTGGAATGGATCCACGGGTATGACAGTTCCAAGGAAGCGAGTACGATCCGTATTACCAGTGTATATATGTTCGGTCAACCGGCATGCATTGTCATAAAAAACCACCTCTGGAATACCTCGTGGGAAGGACTCTTCCAGAAAGTCCTGTTTGATTGACATCCAGATGTGACACAGATCAGACACAGAATCAGGAAGCATTTTAACCATACCAACTCACCTTGACTGCACTGACGGACTCCGCATTATAAAAGGTTTTCCGTGCCAATATAATTCCACAACATGCTACAATCAACTGATCATTGTGTGTACGAGATCGAGATAGCAAGTATTTGCCAGCCGCCTGCGACTCGCCGCCGTCCCGCGCACCCTTGTGTGCTCTCTGCGACTCATCAGCATGCTGCAAGCTTTCAAGATCTTCAATCTGTCCGGTCTCAGAATTCATATGCACCGTAGGATCAATATTGAGATTAGAGCCCGGACGATTAAGAATAGAGGTTAGAGAGAAATTCCCTTGGACACGCTGATTAAATTTGGCCCATGCCTCAATGTGGGCTATGTTGTCGCAAGTCTGGCTATCTTTACACGCTGGCTTAGGGCAGGGTTGTGCTTGACAGCGCCCACCCAGGATTGGAAAGTGGTCGGTGCAATACCGATCGTTGATGTTTGCCAGCTTCTTTGTGCAAGGGCCTTCAGGTGGGGGCTGTCCAAGAGATCAAGAGATTTCCTGCAGTTGCTGAGATGAGGCGCTGCAGCGCCAGTGCCCAATTGTCAGACCGTCGGTGACAACTGCACGGATAGCTGTGCCGATGTATTAAATCCCGGTGTCAGCAGTTGCAAGCGGGAAGCGTTCAATTGGGTGACATACATTTGTAGATCACTTCACCGGTATCTGGATCCACACCACCAGGTGTCAAGCGGACACAGCTGGAGCAATAATGGTCCCGGTATCGAGATCCTTCAATATCCAATTGATTGAGGTGCAATTCGATTTCCGAGTCGAAACGGATTGAATCGGTGCCACTGGAGGTTACTGCGAGAAAAGACCCTCTTCGATCTGCGTGATTGATCAATGAGTGAAGTATAAGCCCATCGCGACACACTTCTTCTGAGAGAGACGGAGTGAAGCCCTGCCGGGGGGTGAATGTGGCAACATCGGAGTCATCTACAAAGATCTGGTTAAACCAGTTAACCAGATTGAAATGTGATACACTAAATGAGGAGCGAATATAATGTCAGTGTTAGACTGGTTATACGGAGAAAGGATCACAGAATCATGAATCACTCACTGTGCTAACATTTGAATGATCCGGAACATGTAGGCCAAGCGGCAAGTCATATAGTAATGGCAGTGTACGTGAAGATAATCCTGGTCGCGTCCCATTTTGTTTGTATAATAATGTCGCAAACCATCTCGAGTATAAAAACTAGGTCTGTAGAAGGTGCCACAGAGTTGGTCTGCCGTCCAAACCACAGTAACTTCAGTAAGTGACGTTGGGATTTGGATAGAATTTGGAAACTCACTGGAACAGCATAGAATGACGGTCTCAATCGTGTGGACGCCATCAACGTCGTACAGGTAACCGTTGAGGCGCGAGTGAACATGTAAGTTGTGTGAGTGGCCATTTGAGCAGCAAACAAGACACTGGGAAAAGGGTGCGCGTAAAAAGCGTTCGGGAAGCTTGGTTGTAAGATCCTCCTGCATGCCAAACTTGCGGACAGTAGCAGATGGGTTGATTCGACACGAGGGTAAGATCGCAAACATGATTCGCCATAGTTCAGAATATAAGTCATGGGGGTATCCAGGCGATAGCGCTGTTGCAAGGAACGGTATGAGGGTGAACCGAGTTGATGTCAGACGTAGAGATTCGCCGGCGATGTGTAGGGCTTCAGCGGCCAGGGTGGCGAACCGCACAAAGTCGGCGACGTTGAGTGTCGCAGAGAGCTGAGGTGATTGACTGTTGAGCTGTGCAACAAAATCACGTAAAAGCATCTTTAAAATTGACCGAAGTGTGGGAGGGTAAGCAACAGTGTTAGTGTGGAAGGTCAAGGATGCATGAAGCAGTGATGGATTTTGGATGTAGGGCGTGTCACCTCCCACATGTCACCTGTGAGTATACCCTAGTTCCACAATCAGGCCATGTGTTTAAGGCGGGCTTAAGGGGTTTGTCATTGGTTTTGTCAAACTGCTAGGATGATAGGTGAACAAGATTTTACATGCCTAATCCCCGGAGTAAACCCATGCATCATGGGTTTATGCAAGATTATCACGATTATCAGGGGTGTATCAGACCAATCCCCTGATTCTCCGGCCTACCGCTGAGAATTACCTCGGATCAAAACCTCGGGAAGCTTCTGTCTGAGGTTTTGCATCCGAGGATACCTCGGATTTTGTAATCCGAGGTAAATATGTTGGTGGTGTAGGCTGATGGTTCTCAGCATCATTGCCACCACAGTGCTGTTGCAGGCCTCTTAAGCCCCGCTGACAATGCTGCGCAGACGCATGTATGGTTGGACAACACTTTGGCAAGTAGCAGTTTTGGTATTTTTGGTGGTCAAAGTAGGCTGATCTTTATGATCCATAAGAGACAAATATGCATTATGTACATGTCCCTATGCCTAGGAATTGTAATCATTGCCCCACCGCTGCAGAACTTGCATGATTACGTAAATCACTTGGAGGTGACTATACATGACCACTGGCACTGAGTCAGAGGGCTTTGATCCAAGAGGAGAGCTACATCTCAAAGGCCACAGCAGGGTTGATGGTAAATTTTGACCAGGTTTCAACTTCAGATCAAAACTTCTACCAGCAAGCTGGTCTTGTCACATGTCCCTCATTTTGCCCTTGGGCTTGTCCGACAGATCAGATGAAGTGGTGGGACCAAACTTAACAAAAGTTTGCAGTGGGACTTGGTCAAGTCAGAAAAGTTGTGAAGGGCAAACTTAGAATGTTGAGTCCATAACCCATGAACATGGAGAGGGTATGGTATTACTGGAGTATAGATGTTTGGTTTCCTGGGAAGTTTGGAACCAATTGTTTTGAGTCTTGACCTCCAGTCCTCTGCACTGTTTCCACTCCATATCAATCCATATTTGATACCTACATAGATCATCAGTCTGGAGTCAGTAATCAGCCATTCTCAATTGGTTTGCTTGGGTTGCACCAAATTTCTGGTTTGCTGGCCCATTTCTTCTGACCTTGAATGTCACCATCTGTTTGTTCCAGACCAAGAAGAGCCTGATCCATTCATATGCCTTCATATACCTTCATGTTCCCGCAAGTCACCATATTTGGAGATTGCATACATAGGCTACATGCCTCCATATCTGCATTCATTTATCCTTCCAATATTGGGTAGTTTGTCTGGAATGTACAAAACTAAGCCAGCACCTGGTGATTGGACCCCCAAAAAGACCATTCAAGAGACACAAGCACTGTTCATCAGCTGATACATGTCCAGTTTGCAGAACAACAATGTGTGTCAAATGCATGTCACCTTTTTGTTCTTCATAAAACCATGCAAGAAGGAACAACACATCAAAACATTTGGGGCAAATCAAATTATATTGGAAACTCTTCAAGACTACAATCCTAAAGCTCATTTCAACATCCAGTTGGATGATATCAATGGGGCTTGTAAACTTGATTGGGGTTCAGAGGAATCTGAAACTCATCAACATCAAGATAGCCTGCTCAACAACTCCAATGTGATTGCAAATACTAAAAATCCACCTGAAGACGCAAAAGGAGCCAACAAAACTGGTGATGACAAGAGTCTAACAGTTACAACTGATGATGATGATGAAGTTCTCTAAGAGTATAAGCTTTGTAAGATCATAATCAGTTCTCAGTCAGCTATGAGAGAACTCAAGTGAGATGAAAAAGCCAAGTACCTATGGGTACAAGAAACAATAGAATAGAATGAATGGAGAAAGAAAGCAAAATATCAAAAGATTCATTCTTTATATATTGTAAAGAAATCATGTAAACTCAGTACAAAGAAAATATATTAACAAAGGAAAAGAAACTATGATGTCATATGATAATGAAAAGGATTGAAAGAGGAATTGAGTTACAATGATGAGATCATAAGAAGAGAATTAATAATTGTCTTTATAAACTCTACCAAAACAACAAGGGATCATTCCAACTGTTTGATTATCTCTGGAACTATCTTGGCTTCCATCTCCTATGTATGCTGCCTGATGTTCTCAGAGTACAAAGACATGGCATACTGACACCCTGAAGAAATTGCTTTCATTTGCAGTACAGTCAAGAGGAGTTTTGCTGTCATGGCCAAAGAATCTGGCTATGTACTTCCAGAAGATATGGCTATCTAATCTGGAGCCTCCGCTGAACCTGAACCTGAATTGCCACTCACAATCACAGTCCAGGAAAACAGAGGACTGCCGCCTGTTAGTAAGATATTTTCTCTAATGCCAAACACATGTGTTGAGAGCCAGTTGTACAGAGCTACAAGACTCCTTCAATCTTAAACCATCATGTCATTCAAGAAAAGACGGAGGAGGAGAATATTGGAGAGAGACAATTCATTTGTAGATGAATCTGAAGCATTGATCATGAGCCAAAGTTTTACCATGCACCGGCCTGTGATGGGTTCTTCCAGGCAGAAGGATTGCTAGAGCTGAAATCTGACAAAACGTAAGTGAGCATCATCATACCTACTGGTGTCAGATGATTGAATTTTTGCCCTGTACAAAATCAATTGCAGAAATACTAGGAACCACAAGATAGCTAGCAAGGTAGTGCAGAAATTGAAGTAAGCTCCTCCCAGCACAATCTTGAGCCAATAATCTCCAAAACCAATGAGCAAATATCAGGTCAATCAACCCTCAAACCCAACACTAGCTCTACCTTCAGAATCACAGGATCTTCATGACAAGGGCTTCTCAAAGGCAGCTCATATATCAACTTCAGAAAATTCCACAGCACTATCCCTTCCCCCCACACTGTCTACTTCAAAGAACTCCAAACATTGCACCTCCCACTTACCACCCATCAACCTTATCATGCATTCTTCTCAGATGTTGGGAATTTAAACAAATCCTATTCATATTCTTGACAATGAAGAAGATTTCTCAGTGGCACTATTGACAGATGCCTTCCAACCAATTTCACAGAATTGTGTCCCGGGGAGACCTGAAAAGACAGCAGTGTTGAAGAGAACAGTAACTTACAGCCCGTGTGCCATATCGAGCTGTTTACAAAGTCAATTTGGCCATGTGGGGAAGACAGACAGGCCTCTAGCCACTGAACTCAAGGCTGTGATCCATGGGCTGAAAGTTGAGGTAGATGCAGGTAAGACTAATCATCTATGAATGTGAAGTTACTTTATTCACTTTGACTAACATCATGTGTGTTTTTTATTCACATTGGTTCTTCCATTCAATCCTATAGAACCTCTACCACATCTCTTTACTCTCACATTAGAGGTAGCTCAATTGGTGTTGGATTTGAATGAATACAATGCCATATTGTTTTGTCACCTCACTCAAATCTTTCCTCACAAAACACTCACCATCAGAGTGTGTTTCAAACTTTTTTTGAATCCCATCACCTCTCCTAATAATCATTCATAACAAGATACCTGAAATGAAAATGCTTGATCTCTTAATTGGTAATGGTTTTACAGAAACTTGTCACACAAGAAATTTGCCCACAGAAAGAAAAATATATTGAAGATCAAATTGATCTAAGGATTGGTCGTCTTCAGGTTCTTGTTGACAAAGCCATGATGAATATCATGATAAATCATGAGAAGGCTTTGGCCAATTGGCAATTAGCTATGGATGAATTGGAACAGGAATCAAACTTACAAAAGACTGAGTCTTATGCTTCAACAGAACATTCTTTGATCAATAATATGTCCTCCAAAAGTGGACCTCAAATTGTGGATGGACAACATAGGTTTGAGGTGTAGTGCAGATCAATAATCAACTATCTAACAAACTTGATCCACCCATGTGGTATATTTCTGCCTTGATTTATTAGCTAAACCACCAACAAAGAGATTCAATTTTAGTACAACTAAGCAAGAGGTGTATTACAACATCCTCAAATTAGAAGATAAACTATGCAAAACAATCTGGGGAACTCAGTACATTTGATTACCAAATTGAATTGATCTCCACTCTATCTCTGCCTCCCTCTTCCTCTCAAAAGTGCAAAAAATATAAATATTGATTCTTCTTCAATCAAGTTTTTATTCCTCTACCATCAAAGGGAACTTGTGGATGGAATTATAACATTCAAGGATTCAGATCATCAAAAACAATTGGGCCTAAAAGTTAAGTCTTGATATGCAAGAATCTCAATCCCCCCATCAAAATTTTGGGGTTCAAGCCATCAAAGCAAGGTTGACAAGTAAAAACCCATTTCTCCCCAACAATTCTGAATGTTTAATTCTGTCAACTATGGCCAGAAGGGTGCGGCAAGTTCTGAGTCCTTCTGGTGCAGAAGTGGCCCAAAGGCAATACAGGAGGATATATCCATTCAACTTGAATGTATCAAAAAAACTTTTTCCTCTCATATCAGCTTTAACTAGGGCCCCGGCGGCTGCCGCCGCCCCCACAAACAAATGGCCCTGACCAATTCACAGTCAATAATCTCCGAACAGAAGCGTCGCAGGTCGTGACTCTTCAATTCCCACACCCGTGGAAGATACAATTTATCTCTATTACAACAAATATAAGTGCTTTTAACTACAACAAACGCAACGTAACGCAACAACCACAAAGCCCACATCGAAAATGTGTCTTTTTAATCTTCGTCCATTGCATGTTGGTGTTGATACAGTCTACTGACTTCGGAAGCGACTATGTTATCAGTATCAGAGGTTCCGTTCGCTGATCCAAGTCCAACCATAATGTTGCTTAAGTCTCAAGATCTCGACAAAGCTACGTAAAGTTGCCCGTGGCTGAAGACTGGCGTCGGTAGTAGAATACCAACTTTTTCGAGACTCTGGCCTTGTGCCTTGTTGATGGTTAAGCAAAAAGCGTGAGCTATAGGAAATTGATACCGAGAGAATTTGAATGGAGCTGGATCTTTCCCATCATGGTTCAGCTTGATCTTAGGAATACCCACGACATCCCTGGTTCGTGGACCCGTAATCACTTCACATTTCAAGACATGTGGTTTTACGTCCAATATTATCAAACATGTTCCGTTGCATAGTCCCTTGGCCACGTCAATGTTTCGTAGTAACATTATCGGAATACCCTCCTTCAATTCAATGACGTGGTCTGGGAACCCATTTATGATTTGGGCATTCAAGACCTCCTCCGTCAAAGGTTCCGCCGCGTCGGGGTCCGCAGTGTCACTTGAAATTGAGGTCGTAGATAACCCGACAACGCTTCGCACCAACAATCTATTCACATCTTTCACTCCCTTATTTAATGGTGTTATTAAGCATCTTTCACTGTAATAAGTCTCTTTTCTTCCGTTCTCGACACCATATGGTTCCTCTATCATCTCCCGATATACCCACAGAATTGTTGCGTAATCTAACTCCCCTGGCGCAGAGATAAAGGTTTTTATTGAGGAAAGGTCAACCTGGTCATGATCTTGATCTTGAAGCTGCCCTGATCCCAGTCTCAATAACCAATCCGCGAACTCGGCATTTTGAGTGTCGCCCACGGCGTCTTTTTGGAGTCGAAGATTTGCAGTTAAAGCGCGTTCTTCAATGTAACCCCAAAGAAATGAGCGTAAGAGACATGATTTGACCTGGCTATGAAGGTCCCCACCTGGAACAACCGGAAGAATTTGTCGGAAGTCACCTGAGAAAATGATTGATAGACCTCCAAAAGGTCTGTCATCTTTTCGAAGGCTTCTCAGTGTCCGATCTACCGCCTCAATGTCCACCTTTTTTTGCATTGAAATTTCGTCCCACACGACTATTTTTGCCTGAATCACCTGGTGGCTCAAGAAATCCCCGCCTGAAAGATCACAAGTCAATGTTGAATGAGCGTCAATGGGTATTTTGAAGGCCGAGTGAGCTGTCCGACCATGCAGGAGGAGTTGCGCAGCAACCCCTGATGACGCCACCGCAATAAAGGGAAGTTCAAGACTCCAGAAGTAATGCAGTATAGTATTCAACAAAAAAGTTTTCCCGCTGCCCCCTGGTCCATCCACAAAAATTAATGTTTGCTTCCCATCATCCTTGTCCAATTTTACGTCGGAAAAAATTGCACGTTGCTCATCGTTCAACATTGGTATTTGCCGCATGATAATCTCTTCACTTTGTTTTCTTGCATCATCTTGACTTGTAATGGCTGAGTTGGCCACCGCGTGTGAAGCCATTGCAATGTCTAGGTCGAAGTCAGGCAAGCAAACCATGTCTGCGTCTTTGCCCATTTCCGCTATGTCATGGCTCATCAGAAACAAACCATAGTTCTTGACCTGCTCTTGCGATGGCAGATGGCCTGCGCCTTGATCCAATAGCCTTGGGATATCGTCGCACATTTCTTCCCAATGATTTTCCCAAAGCGCACATGGGTCTGATGGCGGTGTATGACACAGTAGTATGGCAAATAAATATTGCATTTGTTTCCCAGAAGCCCAGACCGCAGCTTCCTCTAAACAGGCATTATACGCCTTGTCCGACTCTAGGAGCCCTAGAGCATCAGCAGCTTCTCTGAAAGTTGCGTACTCTACACCCCCGACCGTTTGTAGATCCCGGAATGAAGTTGGTCCTTTGATCTTTGTCAATAAAAGTCTCAAATAGAATTTATCCCCGTGTTGAGCACTTGCGTAGTTGATCCTACCAATGCACGGAATTGTGTTATCTCTCATTTTGAACCGCTTGTCTGTCCAAGTGAAGTATTCAGCTATGTCGGAATAATAGCAATCTTTTGCCCGAACACCACCTTGCCCTTCTGCGTCTTCCTTACACAGGCGAAAAAAATTGATCAGAGTTGTGTTGCATGCCGAAGCGGCATCGGCAATTTGCTGTCGGGTACCATCCGGTGCAAAATAGACTTGATGCTGGTTCTCCAAATGCAAGTCCAAATTTTGAACTGGTGGCCAATTCACGGCAATTGGAAATTTGTAAAGACGCCAGGCAGCTATGGAGTCTGTATGTATCAGCAAAAATACTTCATCTTATCTATGAAATAAACTCACCCTCCGAAGCTCCGACATATCTATTTTCAACATAGTATTTAGGCTCATTTCTTTTCTTGCTCCTTTCTTCAAGTTTGATGTTTGCCATGTCACTACTCTTGGTGATGTACTTATATAGATATTTGATTGCTCTCGATCCCGCGGTGAACTCCACATTCATATGACATTCAAACTTCATGAGAAGGAATGGGTTATACGGGACCACATATTGATTTGTGAATATTTTCCCCCCTTTGTCAAAGGTGATGCCGGAGTTTCTTCTTCGGTAAACTGGATACGGCCCGTCATTCATTAAAGTTTTCTCATTGTAGGGCTTTGGATATCCAGCCTTGCAAACACCGTTTCTTAAGCACCCCTTTCTTTCGCATGGACCATGAAGCATATACTTTGTGACCAACTCGAACAACCTCGGTTCTGATCTTGGATCTGGTAATTCTGCACTAACTAAATTATCGACATCGTCCGGCAATTTAGGCCTATCTGACGGAGCCAAAATGAATATAGCGTGAATGTGAGGCAGCCCCCGCTTCTGGAACTCAATCCTATAAGAATATGCAATGACCTTGCCCAAAACACCCACTTTAGCTACGTCGTGGATCATCTCGTCTATCTTCATCTTAAAGACTCTAGCGACTATCTCAGGCCTATCAATCGCCGTTTCGTCCCCAATCAGACAGTTCTGTATTTCACGCCAATGCGAATTAGCCGTCATTGTGATAAATAAGCTAGGGTAACCAAACTTCCTAACCAGCGCCATGGAATTTTGATATACCTCCTTTAAGTGACGGGGACCACCTTTGAATGAGGAAGGCAAAACTATCAATTTTCCGTTAGGGTCCTCGTCCCCGTTGAAGGATTCAACAATGCCTTGATAGAGCTGTACTTTCAAACACTTTTGATTATTCTTGATGTAACGCAACCGTGCGGCCTCAACTATAACATACATATCAACTATCAATTCTTGCGTCAGAGCTCTTGAATGAATTACAGGTGATAGTGAACTTCTCCGCTCAAACATTAACCAAGCAAACCATTGTAGCTCAGTAACTTTTTTGTTTAGTTTTTTTCCTGCAACAAACATTCATTAGCTAAGGCTTCCCCTACAATTAGACACTGCGTTGCTTACCTTTGCCGGTTGCTGTTGGAGATCGGTAATTTTCATCCCAACCCTGAGACCCGTAAGGAAAGATCAAAGGGTATCGCATTGGGAAATACCCGGTGTGAAACTCACTAACATTTTGAAACGCGCCATCTTCTCTTTTCATGATAATTTCTCTCCCCTTCTTATTATCTTTGGTTGGGGACGTCACAATGGCTCCAATATCTTCAGGCCGAGGTTGATTATAAGTCTTGTGGTGGCGATTATCAGGGCTTAAGGTCTTGAGGACAATGGTACCATTATCAGTTTCTTCTAAGATTCTTTTTGCATTCTTAAACAGTTTTGCATAAGGATTGTTCTCATTGATAACGTCTTGGAGCTGTAACAACAGATTCTGATCTAAGCTATTCCCATAATGCTTCTGGCGCATGTTTGCTTCGGCAGTACCCGCATCACCCATGACAAAAATTTGAGCAAAAGCTGCTGGTGCGTCCCCGGTAGGTTGCAATGCCCCCAATCGGTGCGCGAGTTGACCACTAATACGAAAAGAATAGACACCTTCCTGGCCTGCTACTGTCCAATCTAGATCTGCTCCAAGAGAAGTGAAAGACAAAGCGTTGTTGTAATCTCTTATCCTTTTTCTGTATTCAGTTGCGCCTATGATAATTGATGAGTCAATTTATTGAAGCAAAATATAGTAAAAAAATTATTTACCTGAATCACTCCGGGTTAACAATCCTTCTAGTGCTGAAGGCAGCTGCCCGTCATTGCAGTAGAAAGCTGGTAATTGAACCTCTCCTTGCTGACAACACATTGAATATATTCTAGTATTCTTTTGTTTTTGAGTCTTCTCTAATGTCCAGTGTAAAGTGCCACACTTCTCGCATGCTTCTTTGCAATTACCACAGAAGAACGGTAACTGATCTCCGAATCGACTAATAAGTGAAGTTTTGCTTCGTTCTGATTGATTGGTGACGACGGGCGGCATGGTTGGGTTGGCAAAGAAAGATAATGGATAATTCAAAAAGACAATGTAAGTAAGATTTAAGGAAAGAATGGTTGATAAGAGGTCAAGAGTAGTGCGAAATGTTTCTTTCGATCATTTTAACCACCTTGGGTTTTGGCAAGTTGTAGTGATATTTCTTTTCCGGAACACAGTTGATATTTGCTACTTTTGGGATTTTTTAATACACAGCTTTTACATATGACAACGGCGAGTCTAAATTTCCGTCTATGGCAACCAATCAATGAATGTCAATGCCACAATAGAGAGGCTTGGCCGGCGAGAGAGATTTCAAGGACCGCACAAATATTTCCATTCCATACGTAGGCAAAACAATATGAAGTTGGAAATGACAACAAGTTAACTGGCGGACTCATGACATAGTTTACTATTTCAAGGGTTGGAAAATAAGGTGACTACTGTTAAATTCACAAGGCACCTAATAGAATATGAAATGAAGATCATGAGTCATTCAGCAGCTCGCTTAGGACGTTTAACTGGCATTTTCGCGGCCGACGTCGAAGCTTCCGAATTTGCATTATCTTCAACTACGGACGTGTTGTCGTTCTTGGAGTCAACTGGTTTCGAAACTTTGGTTGGGCTTTTGGGACTATAACTGAATCGCGATCGTCAAACCACTGCCAAAGCGGAGATAAGGAACATTGAGCGAGTCAAACTTACAATTTTCCTCGAGCACGGCCTGAGGGCGTCTTAACTGTATCACCTTCAACATTAGTCACACTGGCACTCGGTCCGACTCCCACTCCAGAATGACCGGACGTGACGTTTATGGAGTTAACCTGAAGTGATCGATGGTCAATACCTACCGGAAGACATGTCACCCGAAGGATGAAGGATCAATGACTTACATTGCAAACAAATCTCAACTCATCATGATTGAAGCCCAGTATGTGGCCCGAGACCATAATTTCTTTGCCAGCCGTGAATAGGGCTTGGATGTTGCCTAGGTAGATTAGTGGCCTTATACGATATTCGGTGATCCACATTTGATTTTTTCCGCTCTAGAACCATAAAACAATTAGAGAGAATAAACAATCAAACCAGGAGTATGGACTTACTGCCGGATCATAGTCTGAGTGCTCCATCAAGACTACAACAGTATCCTTGTCATACCCCGCCTCTCTCATATTTTTCTTCTCCTTCACAATTCCCAGTGCAGTAACAACAGTATTGTTGGTGAAGGTTCCAGGAAAAGAGTTTGACACATTCACTTGGTTGAGATGATCAGCTTCATAGTAAAGTTTTGGCCGAGCGTCTGAATTTGAAGCAACCATTCTTGCACGAATGGCGTAAACACCGTCTGTTTTGGCTGGATTAGTGGTACCGGTATGTGTAGCGAGGTCGACAGGGTACTCAATGAGGGGAGCATTATCAAGACCAAAACAAACGATCGACGCTTTCGCGTATTGGAGTCCGTAAGATTTGCCGTCCACAAAGACAGAATCGAACTATAACATTGGTCGTTAGGCAAATGTATTTCAGGGTTAACATAGAATGACTGACTGCTTCAAACACGTCAAAAGTACTGAAAACCATCATTGAATGTTTCCGTGGTTTAGGTTGAGACATGTGTTCAAGATAAAGTTGAGGATGATGATTAAATGAGTTGAATTCCTTTGACTCGTAACAATGGTCGTCAAATGGCGACGATATTTAGTTCCCCTATATAACGTCAAAATATCAAAGATGAAGTTAGCTGTGGCTTGCTTACAACGTCAATGGATTGTTTTCATTGTCCTCATTCTCTCTGGGACAAACAAGGACAACGTCTTAGCTCAGAAGAGGTTTGATATGTCCCTTGCGTCGCACGCAGCGACGCACTCTCGTGCTTGTTTAGCCTGGGATCAGCATTGAGAATGCCATGGCCTCGAGAGGCGTCCAACATACCCCTCGCCTCATGCAGGGGGACAGAAATATCTGCGGTAGAGTATTAGGGTCTCGTATGCAACCCCCCTACACGTCACAATACTGATAGAATCCATCAGCTATGGGGACGTGCGCAGAAGCGCATGAGGATGAAATCCATGTCGATAATGATTAGTTATGCTTACAATTGCAATCAGATGAGTCCAATCTCCCAATTTGGCCTCCGAATGACGCGCCGGTCGCGCATTCGGCTAACAAACAGCACACTACATCACAAAGCTTGTATGGGTTGTACTATAGGCATGCAATCCTGTGTAGTTAAGCAACCCCAGGGGTGCGACTCCATTCCACCAACATCACATCAGACGTAATTACCGGTGCGCGATGGCAGCAGATTGCAATGGATAATCCATCATTGGGTTATCAATCACTGGTAAAGATTAGCAAGCGTCAAACCTCCAGTTGCGATGTGACCAATCATGTATATCTAATCAGGCATAATTTGACCTATATGATACAATATATAGACTATGGCAGTGTCCCCAGTATTTTTTTTTGGGATGAGAGAAGGGCGCACCTTGTGAATGGTGCATGGTAGTTCAGCATAATATGACCTCTTTCTTGCTCGTTATAGTTACCCACGTCAATTCACTGTTCCACTTCCCAACTTGTATCACCCAAGCAACAAAACCAATATTTGTGCAATACATTATGGAATACTCAGCAGACGGAAGAAGGTTAACGATGGATTCAAGGAGCTTGGAGCTCATAGTCGCCATCAAGAACAATTTTGACAATCATACGTTACGCCAACACAGATTGCACAGCATATAGCTTCTCTTTACATGGCTAATCCCCTTCCTTTAGCCGGACCAGGAAACGCCATCATAACATACAATTGTGGCAAAACGTATGACGTGCATTTATTTGGACTCAACGCACATAGGATAGTGCGACCAGCAGAGGGCGAACCTTTCTGCCTCTTGACTCGTATTGAATACCCTAGCGCGGACGCGGAGTACAATAGTGAGTACGGCTCCGACCAACATAACAGATATCGCACGCACTTACCTGGAAAATTGTAGGCACATTCTGCACCATCTACTCAAACACTCCAGACGATAACGGTCGGGTGCGTGATTACAATGTCATCGCCAGGGTTGTGTCCGAAGCACCCATCACCAAGGCGTCAGTTGACCGCTTCTTAGCAAGGGTTCAAGAATGCCATATTGAATTGTAGATAATGAGCAATGACTCTCCGCTAAAGCTTGATGATCTCATGCATATTACCAAGATCTTTCATGTTATTATCTGCGTCTCCTTCCCTCTAATAATGATTATTACCGAAATCTATCTTGTTATCATCTGCGTCTCCTACCTTTTAACAATGATTATTTCGGAGATCTATCATGTTATCAAATGTGTCTCCTTCCTTTTAATAATGGTACATCTCCCAGGACGCTTTAGGATTTCAAAAAGGCTGTGTTATATCCTGAACGCGGGTCTGTATGCCTCTTTTCTGGCAGGTAATGAGTGGTCATAGCCATTAATCACATAAAGGCAGATGTGATATGTAAAGATACAAAAACCAAAACACCAAGAGAAAGAGATATAGATGTCTTAAAAAAGATGGGCAATGACACAGAACAGTTTTATAATTCTGACAAGAAAAGTTCGGGTACACGTCCCTCAGATACAACCACAATGAAAGTATATTTGCGATCGCGGTTATAACCGCCAATATAACCAGCCGAAGGAGTGAATGGTTTCCACCGTCCAACCCTAAAATCAAAACACAGACATAAGGTGTGGCACTACCAAAAGACGTACAGAGAAAGTAGTTACACCTTTAATATTAATGTACCTGAGAATCAGCCTGGCCAAGAATGAACTTTCAATTTGATAATACGAGACCAAATTAGTTGTCCATTTGACGTATCCGTGACCTGGTACTTGTTGGCAGTGATGGACATGCTTTACAGACATTGTTGAAAGTTGATTTTCGATACGGCTGAAGCTGAATTTCCAGGGAATGTGTGCTCAATAAAAGGAAGAGGTAAAGTTGTAATTGGAAGATGTGAAGAAGGATCTGAAAATAGGAAGGAAACACATCAATGTAGGCATTTTTATAGTGACGATATCCTTCGAACAAAAAAGCAAATGTACTCACCAAATGTTAAGAATCCGACAAAATGTACCGCATGCGATTGTTTATTTTTGGCAAGAGAACTTAATTGAAATGGCAGAAAAAAAAGCATCCGGTAATAATGGCATTGGACTCGTGATCAAAAGCCGTGGAGGCCATTGTGTTTGATGTGGAAAAGATGAAAAGCATTTAGACTCGGAATGAGCAGGTTTAGAGACCATTGTTTACGCTGTGCAAGGGGAACAAAAAGCATTGGATCTGTTCAAAAAGTTGGCTCCGGATGAGCAGGATTGAACCCCATTGTTTCTGTTGTGCAAGGGGGAGGAACAACCAAAAAATTAGTAGACCATTCTTTACGATGCGAACGGGGGATGAAACGCACCGGGATCAAAAAGGTAAAAAGCAAGACCATTACGATGAAAAGCACCGGGATCCAAAATGCGAACGGGAGATGAAAAGCAAGACCATTATTCACGACGCGAACGGGGGATGAAAAGCGCTGGGATCCGAAGCTTTTGCGATGCAATCGGGGGATGACGAGATCAAAGGCTTTAGAGCCCATCGATTACGATGTGATGTGGCTGGGGGAGAACGGGATCATAAGCTTTGGAGCCCATTGTTCACGGTGTGAAAGCATTGGGACCGGGACCAAAAGCATCGGAACCCATTGTTAGTCCAGATTTAAGTTTTATGATTTATGGCATGACAAAATTATTGTCATATTTGTAAATGTATGACTGGCAAAAGTTGCACTTTGCAAGGTGTAGTCCACAATGCCAAGTGCTGGACAAATGTATTCCAATTGGAAGTGCTGCCTGCTTGAGGTTCAAGCCAATTCAAGTCTCTTTAGCTGCCATGGGGGATGTGTAGATGAGCATATGCAAGTCTTGGAGCTGATATGAGGGCCAGTGTTCAGGTGGGTATGAGACAAGGCGCACAGTTAAATGTGCCTATTATATTGCCTACATCTCCTGCCAAAAAAGTGATCTCCAACCTTCCTTTGAGTCAAAAGTTGTACCCCAATGGAGTGGGTTCAATGTTTTTCCAAAAGGTCACAACAGTCACACCTTTGAGGGGTATACATTGCAATTTAGTGATGGGTCACAAGCTAGCACAACTCTTATATCACTGTGCCCAGATATGCAAGTCTTCCTCCACATGTTGTACATCAACGTCTGAGCTGATTAGGATATGCAAATTCACACACCAGTTTACAGTTCTTTGTTATCAATCCATATGAGTACATGATTTATTCTCACACCTGTTGCAGCCAACACACCTTGAGCCAAACAAGACATGTCTGGTGTGTACAGGCGCTCCCTGAGCACACTTGGCAGTGGACTATAGGCTTTGACATACAAGTGGCATGACCTAGGATTATGGCCTGACTCACAAGTATCTTGAAATCTGTAGCCATTGCAAATACCATAGCATTAGTACAAGGTGCAACATGTATGAAAAATTGATGAACAGTCTTGACAAAGATGGTACCATGAGGCATCTCAAAGGACAGCAACATGCACAAAGATACACACCCGTATTCACCAGTTCCTCCCGCTGTGATCTAGTTGAAGAGCTGCTACATGTCCTGATACTACGTTTGCAAAGCCGTTGATGGTTGAGTGGTAGCTTAAATCATTGGACTTTACACAAGACAAAAAATACAAGCAGGAGGGTTGAAACCTGGAGAATGTCTTCAGCCTCTGCAATGCAGATTTGATGAATTACGTATGAGATCAGATATCTATCAATGGGGCTGATTCAACGTTGACATGAAAAGTGGAACGCACATTGATGTCCGAGTGATGTTGTTTGGTACATATTTAACAAATCGTAGGTGTGACTTGATCAGTCATAGGACTTTGAAACTATCAATTGAGTTTTTGGATGTGCTCACATCCCCTCGAAGTTGGGTCTCTGGTCGGGCTGGGTATAAGTTGGACTTAGCAGTGATCCGATATTAAAGGGATTGATGTGTTGAACTCGGCTGTTGGCTTGTGAGCATGGCGAGAATTGCGAGGCTTGATATGAAATCCTTTTTCAGGGACACGACGCGAGTTATTGAGACAGCTTTGTAACCATTTTATGCTTAAAAGCCATATGATATCTACCCCAGCTTGGCCTTCATCGGGTCCACGGATTAGGCGATTGACAGACTGAAGCTCCTGTGAATCAGATATCGAGCTGCGCAGCGCCTCCGTACATTCCGTCCAACTTTCAACTAGCCCACCAATGATGATATGAGTAGTCAGACCAATTTTGGGTTGGGCGTGTAGCTTGGCACCCGCTGCAGAGAGTTTAGTCATTCTCAACCGATCGGTGTTGCCAAGCTTCTGCTTGATGCTAGTGTCCAAAAGATAGCAGATATCCAAGCCTGACAAGTATGCTCGAGAACGTTTCGTTTTGGGAGTAGCGACTGAATTGAGGAAGGTTGCAAAAATCTCAACGCTCGGAAATCTAAGTTCTCGCTCCTGCCTGCTTAGCTTTTCATAATCGGCCATTGTATTGATCTCTTTGACCTTCTTTGAATTCCGATTCGGGGATGGCTCAGCTGGATGAATCCTTTGACAAGAGGGAGAAGCATTGGACTGAAAGCTAATCGAGTGATCCCATCGTCGTTTTACCAGGGAAGGTGCTTTGAGGAGCGCTTGGGGCAAGATAGGTAAATGCTTGGCGCTTTTGGTAGGCGTCTTTTTCATTGGGAGTTGGAAATTGCTGAAGTCTTCGATCACCGGATCGTGTTTGTAGTAATCCTCTTCTGGTTGCTTCTGCTTTGCAGACGGCTTTGCCGGAGCAGGTAAAGTGCTACTGCCTTGCAATGAGGCAGGCACAGGTTGATGAGAATGAGGGCTAGCCAGCTCAGGCGGTAGGTACGGTAGTGGATTAATTGGCTGAGTTCGCATGGGAGAATTTGAACGGGAGTCGTGCGTCTCTGACGCAAGGATGCTCAATGAATGCTCTGAACGGGTGGGACTTGTTCTTGTGGTGCTCATAAATTCTGATTGAATGTCAAAATCATATCCCGAGGCTGGTGCAGATGAGTGAGTTGATAGAAGCCGAAGATCTTCGAAGGGGTCAAGCGGTGATTGATTCTTCTGGATGCACTTGTTGACTTTGAGTTCATACTTCGCCATCCACGTACGCGATCGACTTTCCCATCCTTTCGTCTCCATTTCATCTGAATCTGAGGACTCGGGTTGTCCGCAGGTATTTGATAAGGTGTTGGATACGCCTATAGCCTTTCCTTTTGGAGATAGTCTTGTAAGATATGCTGATCGAGAGGTAGATGTCATGAGTACTAGATCAGAGAAGATAAGTCTATCACAATGATAATGTGGCATACGAGTACACCATTTTAATGCTGCTTTCCATAGTCACTGGCAAACGGACTTGCACAATTGGTCCTGAGCCGCCCGGGCCAAGTGACACTCATTGTGCTCATGTGACATCTCATCTTACCTGTAACTTAACACTAGGCTCTAGCTACATACTGTAAAGTTGGGGTAAAGTTGCTGCACTGATTAACTGTGAAATGTATTTGGCAGCCAAAATACCACTTGTCATTGAGAAGCCGCAAAAGTTGTTCAGTTGCAAAAAGATACAAACAACAAGAAGAAGTGTAGGAAAGTGATCATTTTACCATATGGAAAGCATCCCCAGAAAACTGGCTTCTTCTTGAGATGTATGTTGGCATGTGGACATCAAGTTGCATATATACCCCAATATGTAGAAAGTACCACAAGAACGGTTAGGGCCCGTTTGGCAACATTTGCCAAGGAGTGTTACACAAGAACTATTTTTCAATGCCTCTTTTTAGCTCTTTTTTGAGAGGCAGATTGAAAAAGCTGAAATTTTGTCATATGCCTTACCAAACAGTCAACCAAAAAGGTCAACAAAAGCTATCTTGAGCTCTTATTGACCATTTTTCTGTATAACAATTGGAATTGGGAATTCAATCTCAATCTTCTAAACATCATACATAGCTATCATCAACTACACCAATCATCACTTTCCTTTTGTTTGCATAATGCACCCACAACACACAAATCATAACACCGTCACGGTCAAGCAGCTATGTGATAAAACAAAGTTGGAACCAGTTGTAAAAATGGAGGTGGCTTATCAAACTGACTGCATAGAATATGAAAACAAATCAAATCAAAAGACATGACTAGTACAATACTAGTACAATAATTGAAAAGCAGAATAAGAAACCAAGAACACTATGAAACGCCAGAGCAAACTAAAAGTAAAAAGCTGAAATGAAATAAAACAAAATGAAATCTGAGCAATGGAAAGGAGGGGAGTGAGGGAGGTAAAAAGACATTGTTAAAAGGGTGTGGGGTGAAGTTAGAAAGTTGATCAAAGTTTATGAAGTTCAGTCAACTGAGGGGGGGTCACAAAGGGTTATATGTCTGATAAACAGCCTCGAGGCTGTTTTTCAGATTGGTCAAACATATCAGGATAGATGATTCTTATTAATGATCATTCATTGTTGCTGAATATCACCTGTTTCACAAAAGCCATAAACAATTTTGAACAAAAAAAAAGTTTTTGGCTTTGTTGGTCTATAACATGTTAAAGAGTTTTCCAAAGTTTGCCAAACGGGCCCTTATCAATGTGGCCAAAGTGCAAGATATATGCAAGATGATAGTATGTTTTCTTTTTGAAGATCGAGGTATGAATGCTTGAGGATTTGACAGTTTGATTTGATAAGGGAATACATGGCTATGCATTGTTTAAAGACTTTGTATAGAGACCTTTCCAGGAATCATGGAACTCCTAGGCACCTTCATGTCATCTTTGACTTTTGTTTGTAAGTACAACTTGGTTCAGTCTACAGACTAATTTACAATGCAGTTGAGAATGCGGAGTGTCATATCATGACACAATCCCTTGATATGTAAAGCTAGTGTAAAAACAAACTGTGGATTCATTATAGCTTGTGATGATGTTGGTATACAATATGTTGAGGGAGATTTGGAAATGCCGTACCTAGAATTTGAAATGAAATTATGCAAATTGCGATAGTGCCACAACTACCCTAAGTCATGTATTGGGTTTATATCCGAGCTCAAAGCCGCCAATCACTTGATCATAGCAATGCTTCACTTAGTGTCCCTTGCCTACCACAATATCTACTCGCAGCCAGTGCTAGATAAACCTTGATAGCTGAAAATCTGCCTTGCACTCAGACAAAAGAATCTGATCTGAAAAGTTATGATTGATGTACCTCTATAATATTAACATAATTTGATTATATAGTCCAGAATGCATTTTCGAAAACTGCTGTGTGAAGATAAAGAGCCGTATATAGGACACAAGAAACAATACGGATGGATTTTAAACCAAAGTCGCGATTAGGAAACCAAGTATTATAGCTTGAGTTCGTCTGATCGTAGTTCGAATCAGACTTTGTATACTCGTTGCTAGAGAAAATTTAGCGTGTACCCCTCTTTTTACACTATTTTTGTCTGTGGAATCAGTCCTATAATATATGTCAGCGAGTGGTTTGAACATTTGAGTGGCAAAATTCACATACACTTGGACTGCTTGAGGGTAGCGAAACAGGTTTTGTGGATCGTATTTTGATTTTATCTGTGTTAGCCGCTCGTAACTAGATGAACCCATTGCATGTGGCACATAGCTCAGCAAATGAATCTGATGAGAGATAGGACAGAAGTTAACTCACTGTTCTCCATAATAGAAGCGAGGCCAGACATCGTCGGCCAATTTGTCATCGACGTAATTCAAGTATCCCCTATGATCGAGAAGGATGAGTTATGTTTCAGCAATTTATTAGAGTGAACTCCAGAATACTTACCCTGCCCAATCTTTTGGATTGTTTGTGACGATACTGTCTGCCATTGAGTCAATGAACTCAAAACCGTCAGATGGAAATGCAGTTTTGTTTGATCCAGTACTTGCGTAGAGCTTTGAGTTGAGGAAACAAAAATCAGTAAACGTTTCGATTTGGTGAATCGAGATAATCTATGGTACTCACTTGAATTGTCCATAGTGATGAACGGTGGAGGTATGATGAGGATTCTTGAGGTACTGAATTTATGAAAGATCCCTTTCCACCGTATAGTTGAAGTTGAACAAACCAGTTCTTGAAAAATAAAACAATAGAATTAGTCTTATTGTATACATCCTTAGTAATACGTGCTCAATAATTGCAACTCACAAGACTGGTTGACATTCCCTGGTTAAAGAAGTAATTTGATAAAGCTTTGATACTTTCGTTGGTGGCAGGTTGCGCTTGGGGTGTGACAAGACTCTTTGCGTAAAATGTGTCGGTGTTTGATTGAAGGGAAGCGGCTGTTGGCGTTAAAGGCTGAGGAGCTGCCAAAAGTTCCAAGCTGGTAAGCCAGTCGGTTTGATTGATAGTTTTTTCTGGGTTGTTTGGCTGAAAAGATTTCATATCAGGATTTGCATTGGCTATTGCCATTGGCTGAGAACATGATCACTGACCAACTTTGATAGTAATGGTGAAACTAGGGGATCCAAGTCAGAACTTGCTCCAATCAAAGTACCCAAAAGTTGAAATTGTACTTGACCCTTTGTGTCGCCCATTCCAATATTGACTTCCATTCCAATTTCATCGGACAGTTCTGCTTCGATACAAAATTGTTGATAAGAAATAATCGCGTGACTTAGTTCCTCGGCCGAAGAAAAGTTCCAAGCGAAAGAGAAAAAGGTCATGATCAAAGGTGCGTCATAAGTCTTGACTTTGAGGGAAGAAACAATCCCAAACGAAGCTCCGGCGCCACGTAAAGCCTGATCGCAAGCATGGATACCATCTCAACATTTGCCAAGAATAATAGCCTCGGAAAGGGGAAGTGCAGAGTGAAAGGTTTTATACCCAAAACAAATCTGGGTTTTCGGTCTCAGAAGTATTGACGACTGAACCATTGGCCAGAACCACCTCGTGACCAACCACAACATCCAGCATCAGCCCCCATTTACGTGAAGTGAACCCAAAGCTGAAATCATCAAATCATCAGATTGATTTATAGGCCAGTAGCGTATGACTTAGTGCTCACCCGCCAAAAGCCGAGTGGCCGCCAGTACCTATCAAGCGGATACATAGTCAATATTCTGAATATCAACCATCAAATATGCAAATGAGTACTAACCAACATAAGGACAAGTTCCATGAGGAATTGCTTTTCCACCAGATTTGAATAGACCTTGTGCTACATCACCCAAGAGATTTCCAGTTTGAATGTCGGCAATGCCGCTAGAATCAACTGTTAAACCCTTCATTTTTGACAGGTCGACAACAAGAAATCCATCTTTCCCCCCGAGACCGTAAGCTGCGTAAGAATGGCCACCTGATTTGGCTGAGACTGTTCAACGTATGATATTGCGCCAGATCATGAGCTTCTGAGGTATTATTCGTGCCGCCTTTGAGACAGGCTAATGAGCGTATTGATTAGCGAGCTGACCTGGTATGCCCTCGGCTGCAGCGGCAGTAACGACTGCCACGATTTCTTCCGTTGTCTTGGGAAAAGAAATTGCAGCAGGCTTATAGTCGAACCTAAGGTTATATGGTTTGGATACCACACCATACTGTGCATCGTTGGGAAATACTGATTCAACTTTGGCTTTGGTTAGGCGCGCTTGTAAATCAGATTTAGACATTGAGACAAGGTTGAAAAGAATGGCGAAGAGGGAGATCCTGAATACAAAGCTTCCCTTCCAAGACATCTTGGGGATGGTCTTATAACAGATTTGACTGATTTTCTATGCTTGGTCTTGAGCTGAGTTGAGTTCGAAAGGCAACCGGGATTTTTTAATGAGCGAACAATTAGATGCAGAAAGAGGATAGAACTAGTGGTTGTTTTGTTCCAGCGTAGGTTTTTCGAAAGGTCCAATGTGTACGAATGTGCCACACTCTGAGAAAACATTCTTTGTCCAGCTGGACCCATGGAGAATACTACGAATGATTCGGTTTCATTCGAGGTATTTGGCCTGCCGTGACCGTGGTACGTTGAATTGATTGAGTAGACAGTTACCCCAGGAAACGCTATGTATTAAGACTTGTTCGACGAGACTAGGAGAGGCTTGAATCCAACCAACTTGTTCAAGAGGAAAAACAGGAAAAACATCACTGCTTTCGTAGTGGCTTTTTGGTCTTGCGTCCACATTGCTTCCAATTTCCAAGTCATGGATCTGCCCACATTTATGTATAAGTTACATTATGCCAAATGAGAAAATTGTAACCAAGAGCCCAGACTGAACATTTCATCCTATCAACAAGTTTGAATTCGTAAGTGTTGACTTGGTACATACTTCTGATCAACTATCCTCACTTTGCTCAAATTCACCAGTTTCTTTGTTAGCGATTCCTCCCCGGTTTCACGTGTTATTTGAGCCCTGTGGTTCATTTGGGGTGCACTGATGACCCTGTAGACTCAGAGTATGTGCCAGGTGAGGAGGACAAAGCAGGATGAAATCGAAGTAGGAAATTAGTGATGAGGTATGGGATTTGATACAAGGTGTGATGATGCGATGAAGATACTTAAGGAGATCATTAACTCCAAACAAATCTCTCAATTCCTTATCAACTAACTGAACCCTCAGCACCTTCACTAATCAAGTCTCCCTACTCAATCTCATCAGCTTCAACTCAGTCTTAGATCACTTCAGGAAATGTTTTCAAAGCTTGAGAAATCTCGTAGTTTATAATCAAAGAAGGTTAATCGATTATCAGTACATACATTCATTCATTCAAAATCAAACTGTTTACGTATCGATCTTCAAGAATCAAGACTCAAGACCAAACAAGATGCCTAGCCTACGACGAGTACCGAGAATCTATCACCTTCGAGATTCAGCTGCAAATGCCGTCGATGAGGAAGCTGGTAGCACGACTGGTACTACTAGTACCACATCAGTCGAATTCACCTTCCGATCATCTGATTCACCCTTTCGAACTCCATTACCGCCAGGCCATCATGGTTCCACCCGATATCCTCTTCGTACAGAATCCAATCGCTCTGTTATCAAAGTACCTCATCAAGCTTTAGCCCAGACTCGTTCAAAACGACGCGTTCTTCATCATCCACCTTCACCTATACTATGCATGCCAGCTGAGATCTTGTATCGAATCGGTCAATTCCTCGAACCACCACTCGACCCTGAACATTGGTCCGAAGCTGGGATTGACCTAATACGATATTCTTCAACATGTAGAGCCGTTCGCAATGCGACGGTCAGTCTCATAGGACGCCATTTTGGATTTACCATAGATGGTTCAACAGAAAGAGATTTTGTAAAAGCTCTTAAACGACTCAATACACTCATTCACAAGAAAACTGAAGAATGTCGAAAGATTCGAAAGATCTTTGTTAAAGATGATTCACCATTACGAATGGACACACAACAAGCCAGAATGAATTGGCATCAAGCCTTGGGTGAATCGTTTATGAAAACATTTCCTAATCTTGAAATGTTTGCGTATGTAAGAGATTTAGATCAAGCTACACAAGAATCTCCTTATGATACTTTACCATTCGGAATTGAAGTCATGCAAGGTTTGGCTGTTGGGAATCATATCAAGACAGTTTATCTTTGTGGAGTTCATTTTACCTGTTGGTCACCTGAAAGATTGTTTAGACCGATCTTACCTTCTAGCCTTGACGTACTTCATCTGGTGGCTGTTCATGATTCAATGTTACCGTTAATCAAACTTTGTCCTGGGCTGACATCTTTGACGATTTGGAGGGATTTCATGATCGGGTATAGTAACGTTGAAGATTGGTTCGGAACAGATCTTTGGGCTAAACTTGAGGAATTACAGATTCGTGGGTTCTATGGTAATGAAGTTATGCGGTTGCAGGCTAGCTTCAAAGAGAGTCGTAGAGTTTGTATGATTTCTTTTTAAGAAATCTACACAAGTCAATCTCTCAGAAACACACTGGGAACTAGCTTAACTAAACTCTCTTTTTCTTTTTTCAAAAACAGCTTGCTGCAACTAAATACAAGGATCCAATTCCATTAAAAACCCTAGACCTCGCCGAGCCGTATACAACAAATGATTTGCTTCAACTTTTGACTGAATTCAGTTCAAAAGAATTACGAGTACTCAGATTAACATTTTGGAAGGATGCATATTTTCAACCCAGGGTCCTCGAACAAATATCTGAAATGTTTCCAATGCTGGAAGAATTACAGGTGACATTGGAAACAATTCAATGTCGTTGGTGGCCTCATAAAATAGTATGTATCTCGTGATTTTTTGCGCTTTTTCCAAAACCGAAACCGCCATCAGAGTGATTACTGATTCGTCATTTGGTCTTACAGGACCAATGGGCTTTATCACTGTCAAAGTTATCAAAATTGAAAGTTTTTAGATGGAATTGTATTCCATATCTTTCACCTGACACATACCAACTCAAAATAGCCATGAGATCTCAAGCTGTTGTCCTCGCCAATGCGCTTCAATCACTAGAAATCATAGGATTTGTAGATCGTGAAGAATTTTTAAATATTCAAAGGAACAATGGTCAATTAGTTTCAATAAGATGGACCTCAACATCTCAATCACCTGAAAACTTTCCGGTTTCAGATCGTGATTTAGGATTAATCAAAGACGGTAATCATCCTCGTTCTTCATCAGATAGACCTTCTGATCCATTCTTAGCTCCTCCTGGATTTTTACCTCAAAATCTAAATTTCACTGCTCGTTGTCTTTCTCCTTCTGGTTCAGTGACTAAAGAGAATATCTTTGAATCGAGTTCTGAATTTTGAAAGACAGAATATATACGTTTTTAAAATCATATCACTCCTTTCACATAAAATAAATACATGGTTTTTATTTTGATTCTTTGAATGGCTTTCACACTACTATTAAGAATGGTTGAACTTTGACTTTTTCTGTTTTGTTATTGCTGATATATTATTTGATCTGCATGTGTATGTGTTTGAAGGGTGAAAGGTTCATTCATGTTGGTCTGGTTGTATAGAATAATAATAAACTGATAGAATGAGGAAATCAAAACAAGTTTGTATTCAGATCTGTGAATTTTTGGAAAATTGTAAGGCTGCAGGAGAGGGCTTTATTGAAAAAGAGGCTTTATGCTTGTAGTAATCAAGAACACCTCTAGCTTAACACAAGCCCACCAACCGCAGAGACGTCCCCCGGAGCCTGCGGAGGGGGGCTTGCGACTTAAACGGAATGCCCGCTTGATAGGAATTTGGTTTTGGCAGGGACTATCTTTGCACGCCAAATCCACCACATCACACAAACCAGAGCCATGAGGTACCCTTATGAAATATGACGGGCAATTTTTTCTCGTTCTTTTGGCGTGTTCAGATTCCTCTGAACTGCTCCAGAACCCAACAATTAAGCGGATTCATTATTTCATAATTTGCTTTATTTACACACAAAGCTGCTGCGACCACATCCAACATGTGTAATACACATTCATTTGGATTAAACCAGTTAAAATTTCTCTCTGATAAGTGGTAGTTTTGATATCAATGATCAATCGTGACAACTTCATTCCAAATCATTCTAATCTCGCGTCTTTCCAGCCTACCTGCCTGATAATATCTGGAACCAATGGAAAGCAACAGTGACGACGACACCGACTTCATCTTGGATCCTTCTCTTGACACTCTAGAAGCATCAACACCCGAAAAGCGCGTCGAAACGGTTGAAAGAATCTGTCAATACATCAACAAGCAGAACACTAGCGCAAAGGCATTTATACTATCTTATCTACGATCCACGAACGAAAATATTGTTCAACGGAGAAAACAGTGGGCATCGGTGAAGAAAGGATGGCGTACTACGGAGGAATTACTGGATGAAATTGAAAAGCTAGTGACTGAAAAGCCCAAATGTAAATTGAAATGGGATGATTGGATATTAAGAAAAGTAAGTCCAACAATGCATCTGTGATTCAATATGAGGCAGATCTCTGAAAGTTACCTTGCAGGCGAAGAGTATTGTAGCATCTCAGTCCCCTCCTGCGCGGAAACTGTATATCAACACCAACAAGCTTGACCCCGACTTTTTTACACACGACGCAGAAGTACAAAGAGAGAGAGACGTAATTGAAGGAATGAATTTCTTACATGAGTTGATAACTTTCAAATTACAACATGAACTTGGTCTTTGGTCAAACACCTCAGCTTCAGATTCTGACACTGCTTCTGATTCGGATTCTTCTAATGTGGATTCGGAACCTCCTCAAAATTATGTGTACCATAAATCTAAGAGTTGAATTGAAAATGCAAAGACCAGATTGAAGACGGTAAGGTTTAACACTTCCATTTTCGATCGTGTTTTCCAATCAAACTGATATGTTTGTACCCGGATAGATTGCATCAACTGTCGTTCAAATGATCTCTTATGCATGCAACCGCCGGTGCAACGGTCTTCAAGTCGAAAATGCTCTCACGTTGCTTGCGTGCGGGGTTACTGAGCGAGTGAACCAATACCTGCACCAAATCGGCGTGAGTGCTTGTCGAAAAACAGCACTACGTGGTCTATTGGTCTTGTCCAAGGAAAAAGCGATCATAATCAAGGACAAAGTGAAAGATGCTGTGGCCTTTGGATTTGTTTTGTGTATCGATAATATTGATATGGTCGAACGTGTACATAGTCGAAGGATAGATGCAACTAGTAAAACCTATCATGGTACATGGGGTTACATCCACTTTTTGAAAGATACTCTATTAGCTGGTATGAGACCTGAAGAATGTACAATATCAGCTTTCCAAGCCGCACTACAAGACGACTCTAAAAAGGCCATTGACTCGGGCGATTTACTTCCAGACAAGGAGGAGCAAGAGAGATGGGAGTCAACTTTGAAGAACCAAGTAGCGAGAGTTCTATTACGCTACATGAAGACCCCAACTAAGTATAAGGCACTCAAGTTATTAAACCTGTCACCAATTGACCAGATCAAGCCCGAAAAACCTGATATCGAGATGCTGAAACTCATGGACTCTTCTGACAACGGTTTGGATGGAATATCATCACTCTATAATGAGCTTATTCAACAGACCGGGCTCTCACCTGAAAAGTTTTCCAGCAGACTGCAAATGCTGGAAGGCGATCTTGGAACTTGTCTCAATTTCCTGGGCTTAGAAAGCCAAAGGATCCCATCGAAGTTTGGTGATGAAGGCCTCTCGCATCTCATAATGGTTCCAGGCGCTGGTCACACTCTGTGGAACATTTCTCAAGCAATACTATTGCATCACTGGGGAAATCCCTGACAAGACAGATTTAGGTGCTTGGCGGACTGCGGTAGAGTTAGGGGGCGCAAAAGAAAGGCCGACAGCAAAGAAAGACTTCACTTCAATGATTCGTATGATCAAACAGATACACGAGGCTACCCTCACTTTTTGTATATTGTAAGTTAGTCTACTTACGATATACAAAAATCTGTATAAAGTCTTACTAACTCAGTCATTTCTTTTTTTGTTCAGTGAGGTACTCGGTTTAAGCGCAAGTGCAGTTCAAGAACCGATTGACATGACAGTTGAGCATTTCGAGGCCACTGTGGAGCAAGTCTTTGTCGGGTATCTTTCAGGAAAGGTCCTGAAGGAGGCACGTAAGAACCAAGATGAAAAAAAGCAACAATTCCTTCTCCAACTTCGTGACTTTGCGACCATCGTTGAAGCCAATCGAGCTATGTCAGATGGTGACATTGGACGGCTACTGCTCATGTGGAAGCAATGGTCTGTGATGATTCAAGGCATCAAGGGCCTTACACATTACTCGAGATATCTTCCACGTCTGATCCGGCTTCTCACCGAAGTCTTACCCAAATCGCTTTCTCACATCATTCTTCATTCTCTATTGATCTCTCCAACTGGCCGACCCGGTCATTTTGTTGCAAAAGATTTCTTTCTGGAGGTGAAGAACTATTGGCTTAAGTACTTTTATAACCACGCAGTACGTCTTTCACTTGTAACATCTAGCGATTTACTGAAATGCGTACATTCACATCAGGGTCCTGGAACAGATCTTAAACGTTTGAAAGAGTGTTTCTCTCTCACATGTGGTTTGGTATGTAAATCAATTAACCATTGCAATACGACAAATACTAAAGATTAACTAACAAATATGTGCGGTCAGCTTCAAGAATTAGTAGATAAATTGAAAGGTAGATCAGGTCAAAATATTGTTCGCCAGTCTCATAAGAACAAATCAACCCCTGCATCGATGATGCGCTTCCTAAACATGGCTCACAGCGAGTCAATCAGCCAGTCAAAGCCTAAGTCCAAGGTTGCCAGTGGTCCAATACCCGACATCAATCTTCTTGGTATCAAGAAGCTTCAGGATGATTATTGTAATGGCCGACTTGAGCGCTTTCACTGGCCGCTTTCATCGAACTACACACCAAATGAAAGTGAAGATCAGGACAATGGAGAACCCGAACAACGTGATGAGTTTGAGCATCTTGACGAGGATTTTGTTAGATGGATAAGCGAAGAGTGAAACTGACTCCTGGTAAGCCTGTTCTTTTGCGTCGAGTTCACTTGGTAACACTTTTTCGACTCGTAACCAATTCAGACACCTTGCATTGTATTCTTTTTTGAGTCTAGCAGCCTCCCGATCAGCTTTCACCTGTGCTGATGATCTTCGAATTTTCTTGTTAATTGGCCTATCCGTTGCGTTCATAGTTGTTGATGTGTTAATCGCTACGGTTGCTTTCATAGTTGTTGATGTTGTAATCGCTGTGCTATTACTGGCATGCCTATTGAGCGAGATTGACTCTTGACACATTCGCTTTTCTTCTGCTGCTTTTTTTCTCTCTAATATCCTCGCTTGATTTCGTGAATAATCGAGACCAGCGTCTCGCTTTTTCCACTCATCAATATAATTGAAGACAATGTTCACTCCTCCTTTGACAATATCACCTCCCATAGCCAATTTAATGTCTTCTGGAGATTGAATTTCATCAATTGACCGGAGCATCTTCCTTGTTTGATCAAGATCGAAGTAGTCTGTGCTTTCAAAGTACCCGTGCTCTCCATATACCTCTGTGCAATGTGAATCAAAAACAGATACTAAATCCTGGGCGAGTGCTTCCAGGGCGGAGTCCAAAGGCCCGCTGTGCTTCTTTGAAGCCTTCTTGCGAGTAGTCACTTGATCTTCTTGAGTATCAATATCCTCACTTTCTCCCTCTGGACGTTTCCAAAAGCCTTCTACACTAAAAACATCACGCATGGCATCCTCATAGTTTGATTTGGTCAATCTAGGTAAATTATACACAAGCATATCCGCCGAAATCGAGTCACAATTGGAACATTGACATTTAGGGAAACCGGCAGCTTCTTCTCGAGCCTGTTCAGCTTGTACACGTGGATCATCCAATTCACAAGGTATCACACCAATCCTGATACCTCCGATGATTCAAGATTTAGTCAATGATGAGGTGTGTCGCGCATAGCAAAAGAAGTGAAGCTTACGTATTTCCTAGTGCAAGTGCAACTCGCAGGCAAACTGGTGTGACTGAGTATGAATCCATAAGTTCATCATCAGTCATTTCTTTTTTGTTCTTCAGGTTGTCTACGCTGTTTGACCCTTTGGATCTGTTTTTTTCTACAAAGTGAATCGCTAGGCCCGGACTGTGTCCTCTGCCACACCTCCCAAAGAGCTGAGCAAGTTCAGGAAGTCCTGTACGTCCCATGACCACCACCTGCATGACTGTAGGCCAATCCTGCCCAAGACCGAGGGCGTTTGTGCACGAGATTATTGGAAATTGGTTATTTGTATACCCTTCCACCGTCCTAATCTTTTCTTTCGGACCGGTACATGAATGATACCTGCGAATCAAGGTGCTGTCCGGATTTTCCTCGCCCTTTGGCGTTCCTCGAGCCTTGTTGACCACCCGCATAACTTCAAGTGTTGCATTTCTTGCACCTGAGTAAATGAGAGACTTCACAAGTTGATCATCCGGTGTGATGTCCTTCTTTGCGTAAAGTGTACGTAAGGGCTTTGCGAATCGGATCGATTGAGTAGTAGGTATACGAATAATTCTGATATTTGATCGGCTGAGCTCCCCTCGCACAATTTCAATATCGCCCTCTTTGATGCTCAAGCTGTTCAGGATTGCACTAAAAGGCCTTGGTGCACAGGTCGCCGACATTAACAAAATTGGGATTTTGTTCGTAGCAATCAAACGAATAAAGAGATCGCCATAAGACAGTCGGAATTGGCCACCATCTTGTAGACGCGTAAATGCTTGGCAATGCTTTGCTTTACGACTTAGAACTAACCCCCACCAATAGATCATATGAGCTTCGTCTATTACTTTGAGAACTAGCCGGTCTTGAAACCTTTGACTGAAGTAAATACCCTCAAAATCTTTGCTATTCAAAAATATCTCGGGGCCCTTTGTTGAAAAAGTAAAAATGGATATGAATCAGCCAAGAGGTTTGCACTATTTTCATCACTGTAGGAAACTACTACTCATCAGATATACTACTGAGTACACTCCGGCTATGATGTCCTTCATCACTTTGTTGGTGAAATTATCTTTTGTGAGATTCACAGCTCTGATGTTCCACCGCTTCTTCTCCGCGACCTACAAGAAAAGCATTCTGGCTTTCAGAATTTGATACTATTACATTTGGTGAGTACATACTTCCTACTAACTTGATTGTCTCCTAAAGCATCCAATGGGTTAATCACAATTATAGTAGCTTTTGATGCCTTTGGAAATATGTCCAGAAACATCTCGGCGATGCGAGTCTTGCCATAGCCCGTACCAGCCAATACAAACGTGTCACGCCCTCTGACCAATGCAAAAACTGCATCGACTTGCAGCTCCTTCGCGGCGCAGTTGTATCTTTTGAGGTGATTTTCTTTTATCAGCTCCCGCAGCTCGGTATCCGTGAGTGCAAGAATTCTTTCAGGAATCACTACTTTTGATTTGGTCTGCTTCGCAATTGCATTTGGAGGGGCTGGCCCCAGTGTCTCCGTTTGTCGTTGAATCTTCTTCGCGGGCTGCTGGTTCTCATTCGAGTGCGGATCATCCTTTGAGCTTCGAAGGGATCTTTTCCTTGCAGGAGAAGTGATTGTAACCTTTTTGGTGGTGAGCTGCAGCATGGCCAAAGATGCTGAGGACGGAACTATACAAATAGTTTGCTCTCTGAGAAGAAAACTTTTTCACTGAACCCCAATCCAAAGCAGACAACTCTCACAGTGGCTTCTCTGTCTTCCCTCCCTAGTGTTTCTCCCTCTCTCTCTTCTCTTTTTTATCTGATATCTCTCCCATGACCAAAAGGTTTTGGTCACAGAGAGAGTCAATCGTTGGCGCAGTCGTGCAAACGACGGATTCAAAAGTTACATTGATCTGGATTCATTTTAAAGCTACAACTTTATATCATGATGAAATGTTGCTCGGAGTTCATATGTACAAGATAAAGGAGAACAATCTGGCTTATTCAGAATGTCCGAAATAGTGCGCGGTGGAGTGTTTAAGGGAGATGGAATCGAAAAAAACTGAAAAACTGAAATTTCGCGCTCTTATCACGCTCGAATTTGCGTTTAAGTCGTAAGTCCCTCCTCCGCAAGCTCCGGGGGACGCGCGCGGTTCGAGGGATTCTTAGTTAAGTTAGAGAACACCTCACCTACTCCTTCTTGTGAGTGATGACTCAATCAGTGGAAACAGGTGGAAACCTTAAAGTGGATGGAGCCCGACGGTACCGGACCTCTGTGACACCGTACACGGAACTGTTAACGGGCTTGCATTGGATTGAAAGTCAACACTGGCTATAATAATCGGTCAACTTGACAAGTTGAAACCACTTGATTCGAAGATGCCTGCTTCATCCTTCAAATTAAAAGAGGAGCCTTGTGAAGATTGGGAAGACGTCCGTATTCCTTCCTATCTTTGATCAACGGATTCACTGATTTTAGAGCTCATCTTCAATATCCTGATCAGCTGGATTACGATATCGATCCTTCTCCACCCTCTCACACGGCTGATGAAGAAGCTACTACTACGATATCGCAATCAACTAATACCGCAGGTTCATCCGATGCTTCTACGCGTGCTACTTCGAATTCATTACTCTGGACCTGCGCGTTAGTCCGCTCCTTAACCGACTTCAACGCTATCTTCATCCCACGATTGAATTCTTGCTTTACGATCAAATTCCGACACGATCTTCATGATGATATTACCTGACTTCTTGCAGAAACAAGAATCCTCAATATGTGATCATACCTTCTAACTCATCGGCTCCAAATCCAGTCTCAAGTCTTTCTCAGCGACCTCTGCCACAGAACGCAATTTTTGGAACACCATCCCTTACTATTTTGAAGAGATCCGGTGATTCTTCTACTGCTGCCAATCGCTCTGTATCTCCTGTGGTACCTCCTGTAGCTGATATTAAACAAAGAGAGAAAGCATACTTGGAAGCAAGGGAAAGGATATTCAGTCAAACTCCTTCAGAGCCAGATCCACTCAAACGACCAAATCTGAAGGCCAAGCATTCCAGTGTAACGTCGTCAATAGAATCTCAATCTGATGAACAAGTCAGTGTCGAACGTCAACCCAAAGGTCCTAGTGGAAGTGATGCGAAAGGGTTCAAAAACCGTACTCGAGCAGAACTTCAGTAGAAAGACCTTTCAGTTTTGCAGGTGTCCTACACAATCTCTCTGATGTTGTAAACAGAAAATTGTACTTTACCATAAACCAAATCATTTTTCAATGTGTTGGTGATCTAGATTGTAGAACAATTGAATGATATGTCCGTACTAGGCAATCAAGAGCTTTGATCACGAAAATTGACGGCAGTATCCGTGTCTCGAAGGTCCAATACTGCACAAGTGTGTTTGCTTCTGTGACATATTATCTGTTGACTGTCATTTCGATCTGGTTGCTATTCTCCATAAATGTTGTCTTACGTTTATACAGTCAGTAATTGACTCTGATTTTCTTGTGGTGTTGTTTTTATGCGTTCTTTTCGACGTGTAAAGAAGAATGTTTCAGATCGAGACTGCACAGTTGACAGAAAATACAAATCAATAAAGTTGATTGAACTTGTCTGAAATAACAAGAAGAATGGTAGCCCTTTGTGAAGGATTTTCTGTGAATTCTAGCGCTTGCAACACAGTCAAGATAGGCCTGCAGTGCCATTGTAGATCTGTAAAGGCGCAAGTATTAACAAATTGAACCTCAGACTACAAGAATTTTCTGGACATTGTATCTGATTCTTCAAATTAATGGGGCCTCTATATACTTGAAGCTGAATGTTTAAATCAAATTTGACATTTGCTTCACCCTACCGAGGTGGACTTGCTACATTCCAATTAAACAGCCGTTCAATTGATCAATTCACCATGTTGCAAGGGCAGGGGGATGTCTTCCATGACATCTGACCATAAAACCTACAAAAAAAATTCAAGACCTTGAAGCTCATCATCAGATAAAAAGTAAAATGTGGTTTGAGTTGAACCCTGACAAAAAATCATCACCGTCATAACTTGAGATCCCCTAAACAAAACAAAAGATCCTGTCTGATTTAGTTATACTAATTTGTATACAAAGAGATTTAAAATGAAAGCTGGAGGTTGACTTGACTGCAAATTTTTGTCTTCAATGTTTTTTTGCCCAAATACTATTGGAGCTGGAATCACCACAGCTGCTAAACCAATTGTTTGACTGTAGAATGCAACTGGTGAAATCATTCTTATCAAAAAGTACCACAATCCACCAATAATGGATTCTGTCCACACGTATCTCTTTCTGTGGGTACTTATGTCAGCATGCACAGTCTTGCAGTAGACTTTGAGCCAGCTATAATTGTAAATGAGAAATTAACTTCTGCTTTTCCTTGAGATAAATAATCATAAAATCTATTGAATTCCAGACAGATATAATAGTCTTTGAATCATATTGAGAAGATTTCATGTCTGTGTCACGAACTTTTCATGACACTGTATTTTTACTTGATGGCAACTTCTACAACACTATTCCCCTAAGCTACTCAAGTCTGCCAAGACTCTGCCAACTGATATAAGTACCCACAGATCACCATGCCCATGTGGTGTTTGCTTGTCAACAAGCGCACACAAGTTGCCTTTGTACCTCAAAGGCAGTCCGTATGCACTTGTTGTCAGGCAAATGCCACAAGGACACAGTGGATAGAGACATATATGGATGTGATGCAGTATTGGTAGAATGTGGCACATAGTCAGGAAGAATGATTTCACATGTTACAGTCTGACTTTAAACAATGACTCAAAAGTTTGCTGAGTTGCTTGATTTTGTTGACTTACAAGAAGGATATATGTGATTCCTTGTAGATACCTGATGGGTTCACCTAGGATGGGGCCAAAAATTTGGACAATTTTCTATATAACACTGAAGGGGAACATCAGAATTTGATCATGGTTATAACAGAATGATGTTGAGAAGAGACACTTCAAGATGTGATGGAATGTTTTATCTTCACTCCAGAAACATCCAAGGGTAATAAGAGGGGTATTTTACCTTTGATCCACATAAATCTTGGTGGCTTGAGACAAAGTTGAGAGAAAATTCTAGATAGAAAGGGGGATTGCAGCCATAGTGATGGAAAGAAAAATATTTGGTAAGCAAATTGATATATCTTGGAAGGAATCTCTGTTGCAAATGAAATGCAGAGGAGGAATCCATGGTAAGTACAAAAGAATCTGAACCGGATAAATCAAAAGGCACTGAGAAAGAAAAAAACTTTTTATGCTTTTTGGACCATTGTTTGATATGTTGTCTGCCACAAGCTGATTCTTGTGAAGGTATACATGAGTTTACAATGGTGACACTGATGAAGTCATACCCAAGACATGTCCCAAGGAAAAGCCAGATGAGGATTTTGTGACACATAGGGTCTTTTTGGATCTAGATTTCTTTGCATGCTTCAAATTTCCCTGTTATATTTCTTCATCCACTGCCTTTTCAAACTGATCCATGTTGGGGGATCCCAAAAGCCATTGCATACATAATAATCATCTTGTATCACTCTGAATCTGGGAGCAGAACCTTATTTTGAGGGATATGCTCTGAACTGACTCAATTCTTTATCATCAACTTTGTCTTTTGCACAGTTCTCTTCACTTCAATTATATTTGTCTCTTTGTGTATTTGGTTGAGACAAATATGTTTCTGAGATCTTTGGATCAAGTCAACTCAAAGATTTTTACCAGAATACACTGTGTGCCTCAATCAAAATCCCCTCAATTGAAGTACATCAAAATTATTGTTGCTCATTCCAGTAAGGACCATATAGCAATTGTGACCTCTGCAAGGGTACATATGCGGCTGTGCAGAGAGGGATTTGTTAAGCTGAAAACTGTCAACAGCAAACCTATTTGATATGCCAGGTTACCAAAGAGTTGGACATTGCTAACATGCTCATCAATATATTTTGATTTGACATGGTACTTGGTATCTGATTAATGATATGCTGATAAACATCTATTTGAATCTTAGAGAGGATAGTCTTGAATGTAGTACAAAAAAAGGATTTTTTTATTTGTGATTTATTTTTCAAACCTCAATAATTCAGTCAGTTTACACCATAAAGGTTAATGAATTATATATTCTTGGTTTTAATTTACAGGAGTAGATTTGTGCAGGTTTATGATTCCATACGACCTCATCTCAATTTTGGTGGTATCTCAATAAATTCTCAATAAATGAGTGATATCCATTTGATATCCAATTCAAAACCAATTCAAAACATTCTCAAGTTGCCGGGAGGCACTGGCCTGCCAGTGACTTGTTTTGGGGGCTTTTAATCTAGGCCTGAGTTCCATTGTGAGTTGACATTTTGGACAAGGCTGATTACATGGCCTAAGGCAGCCTCAAGTTTCTTGAGAAATGACTGTAAGTGCTGAGGCAACTTGTAGATCCAAGGAATCAGCTTGCGGAGTTGAGTGACCTCCAAGGTTTGAATAGGTTCAAGGAGAAAAGGGAGATTCCAGTATAGAACTTGGCCATCTTCATCATGTCTTCTAGAAAGACTTTTGAGTTTGTCTCAAGCAATGAGGTTTATAACATGTGCAACACACATCTAAGGAGATTTTTCATCTTGCTTGAAGTTTGGACAGACCTCTTCAATAGCATTAGACATTGTACCATTTGAGCTGGTGTTATTGGCAACAACACAGAAGACATCATTGAGTAGGCCATACTCTTGAAGGACCAGAATGAGATGATCATCTTGATACGAGTTTGTTTGCCATCCTTGAGACAAAGTATGACCTCTTGTAGTTGGAAGATTTCATCAATCCAGTGAGCTGTGGCCACTAGGACATATCTTTGAATTGAGGATGTTCAAGTGTCAGAGGTGATGTTAGCTGTAGCTTTCTTTCATAAAACATCCTTCATCATTGCCTTCATATCACCAAAAGACTTTTGTACAGCATCTTCAAGAGCATCAGAGCCAACTAGGAGAGGTGAGACCACAGGGTTACACATTCCAAGTAGGATTTGTAGGTCTGGATAATCTGCAAAGGTGACAGGAAGCTCCTTGATGATAATGAGACAAAGAAGCTTGGTCTTGAGGGTCTTGCAAGTGAGCTACACTCAGCCAGAGAGCATAAAAAGAAAGCTGCTGAACACATGAAAATCAACTTATGCTCTGGAGGTTCCCTTTGGTGACAAATCTCTTCATTGATCCATGTTCCATAATGCTGTTTTCATATATGTGATGACAACAATTCAAATCAGATGGTGGCCAATTGACTTTGTGCTGCTGGAGGGATCCAGTTTACGCAATGGTCGGGTAACGCGGGCTTGGGCGAAAGAGAAGTCCGAGTCCGGCCGGGGCCATGGCTTAACATTGGCAACGGAAGTTTCTTTTGAGTTGGATCCGCTTGTCAAATTTATGAACAGAGTCGAAGGGCTTGAAGATCAGATTCGCACGCTAGGAAATTATTCTTCGATTGAAGAAGTTTCCATTTTGTCCGGAAGTGTTTCGGTGTGTAGCAGGGCCAACCCGAATGTGCCATGAGCAGATAAGAAGAAGTCAAGAAGAGAAAGAGAATTGATTTGATTAGATAAGCCAACCAAGAAAATGAAAGAATCCAGTTCAATTGAATTTAGTAAGCCATCATCAGAAAACCAAATGATGAAACACTTTATACCAGATTTATCAATTCAACAACAACAACAACAACAACCACAACCATCCATGAAGCATAACCATCAAGCAGAATTCATTCAAAGAACTACTCAAATCGATTTAAATCAACCAATCAACCATCTCTCTATCATCTCATCATCAAGTTCATCAGAAGAAGATCAAGCTATCAAAGATCATCTGAACCCTCAAATCACTAAAAGAAGACTTAAATTCAATTCAATCGAACCATTAAGATCAATCTATCGAACAGCTGCTAAATCATTCTTACACAAAGAACATTTATCAGTTTGGATTTCACTTTCAAATGGATTAGAAAAGATTTCAAGTTTATTAACCACCCAAGCACCCGTTCATCAAATCGAACATCAATACAAACCATGGTGGACTAAAGATCAAATCCATGGACCGATCTCACTTTCTTCTGGTCTGAATCATCATCATCAAAATCCATTAGATGATCAAATCAGTTTAATGGATCATAGATTAGATCAAGAGTTATATGAATTAGCCAGAAAGTTTCATATTTTACAAATGACCTTTATAGCTTCGGTTTATTCTACAAAGACTATTCAGTGGATCCAATCACAAATAGAAGATTCTGATTCACACTTTAATGAGATCCATGCTCATTCACTTTTGAAATTGTTATCACTTCAACCAGATCGATTGGTTTCAACACTTTGGAAGATGACTGTTTCAAACCAACGAGATCCTGATACCGATTATCCCATCGATTCAATTTCACTCATGAACGTCCATCCTTCAATCGTGACAGCTGCTGCATTAGCTTCTATAAAATTATCGGCACCTAAAGCTGGAAAGATGATTTGTGAAGCATGGATCAGTTCATTGAATGTAGACGTTTTAGATTATATTGAATCTTTAATGAGAAATCAAGAAATGAGTTCGGATTTACCTTTGATGGGTGAAAATCGTATTGTGATTTTAAATCCTACATTCGAATCACCTTCCAAAAGAGGCGGTTCGAATATTCGGTATAATTATTCTAGATTGATTGAAGTTTATTCGGTACATATCTTGGGATCTTTAGATGAATCTCAATTTGCAAAAGAATTTGTGATCTCTCAAAGTTGTGAATCAGGTGGTGTGTTACCTGTCGAGATTGTTAAAGTTGAGCATTTTCTCTTCTTGATGAACTTTTTTCGTATAACTTTTTTTATTGATTATCAGATTATATTTGAATTTTGGATTTTAGAATGTTTTGAATGCACTTGAAACAAATGAAGCACAAAAAATTCAAACTGCAAAGATGATTCGACTTAAACATGAAAGACTTCAAAATGAATGGGATAAACGAGAAGCTATTCAAAAGGCTATTAACAAATCTCATCTTCGACCTTTACCACCTTCTCCATTACGACAACCGATCACTGAAAGTAAAGAAGAACGTACAGCAGCTACAAACAAGACTCGTAGAGGAACCCGAATCATGGGACCTAAAAGTCACGGTCATGATCATGGATCGATTGAATCCTCAACTCATGATGATCTTCTTGGTCAGAACGAATGGGCCAAGAGCTCGAACGGTCGATCTACAGCTTTGAACACAGTGGTCACTAAACCACGTCCATCGAGTGATCTTGCCTTACAACATAATCATCCAAACCAATCTAATTCAAAAGGTTTCTCAGCCTTACGAACTCATCTTTCAAAACTAATTTCCAATCCATCCCAACCTCATCAAACCTTAACTCATTCAGGCGTCATAAAAAACTTGATATTTTCTATTAAATCATTTACTTCAAAACCTTTGACTAAATATACTTTGATCAGTTTAAGTTTTTTAATGATTTTGAAATCCTTTAAAGATTTTAGAAATCGGAACCAATTGATCAATCGATTTGGGTTTCCTTCGGTTTGGTCTTTGGTTCAATTCATTCAATGGGTTTTGAAAAAGATGATGGAAAGTTTTCAAATGGGTACTAGGTTTACTTATCTTTAAATCCAACACAAATCCAAACATCGCCAAACACCGAAAAAAGGGTGGAATTGATGTTTTTTTTCAAAAACTCTCGTTTTTGTTGTTTAATTGATCGATTTACCCTTGATGGTTTCTTTTCTTTCTTTTTGTGATTTCTCTTTTTCGTGGCATTTGCATTGTATTTTCATATCTGCTAAACTTAAAAGTTTTTCATCTCAATTGTGAACTATAGTAAATAAATCTTAGGTGTAGAGGTGTGAGTGTTGTATATGCTTGTGTGTGTTTGGCTTCCTATCATCTTATATCTCATCAAAGATCCATTCATTTGATTGATGAATTTGTATAAACCTTTTTATTTTTTTGTTTGTTTTAAACACGTTTAAAGTATTTGAAAGATTTATAGAATTCTTTCTTTCTTCCTTTGTCTCTCTCTATTATATATGCATATTCCTTTTTTTTTGCAAGATTGGGGTATTGAAACATTCTTTTTGGGGGTTTTGGGGTTGTTGTTTTTGTTTGAAATGATTAGTTTGAGTTTGCAAGAATGGTACCATTCAAGAGATGTTTATGGTACATCAAGGTTGGTCTTGCCTAGTGTTGGTTCGGGTAGGAAAATCGTGAGCCTAAGATCATATCTCTTATGTACCTGGGCCAAGCATCTCTCTTTGTTTTTGAAACTCATGGGAGTGCAATCTCATCAGAGTTGAAGACAAATGTGGTGCACAGCTTATCGCAAAATTTTTTATGATCAATTCATCAGGTTTGTTTTGATTGAGAATCACATATCAAAGTTTTCAAAAAAAAAAACACAGTTTGGATAGAAAATTACAAAATTGAAAGAAAGAAATTGGAATTTTAACCTTTCATATCAGTAATATCAATTTCTTCTACATCTAATTCTTTTTGACATGTTTTAACTTTGTTCAACTTACCTTTAAAACCTTCATTTTCTTTTATACTTTTTTTTCTTATTTGATCAGTAATATCAACTTCAAAATTTATATTTCTTTGAAATCTTTTTTCTTGTTCTTTACTTTTTGATTTGGTTTTTGATTTGGTCTTGATTTTGGTTTTGGTGGATTTGGTGGATTTGGTTTTGGTTTGGTTTGAAGGTATAGGTGTACGAGATGTAGGATTTTCCGTTGTACTGGTAGAAAGATAAGCCATTAAACTAAACAAAGACATTTTTCTTCTTTTTTCAGGGTTTTTTGGGGATCTCTTGAAAAGCTTTATAAATGAAATCTTCAACGTTTAGATTATTTAAATTCGTGATCTTGATAGTTTTGAGGAAGTTGATGATTGATGATTAATCCCTTACTTTGAAGTTTCGAATCGGGTTGGATTTATATACTTTTTCTATGAGATCTATTTTGGTTTGCATTTTGAAGTTTCTTGTTGACTTTTTCATCAAGATTGCTTTCGATAGCAATCCTCATTAAACAAATGAACATTTCATGATTTTTCAACCTTTCAAGTTTTCAATTATGACTGATTTATTCTTCAATCTCAATGTCTTCAACTTCAACACTGCAGTTTAGACCTTAGTTGAGTGTGGATGGTTTGCAGCTACAAATTGTTCAGGCTCATACTTGACTCGGTACGTTAAAATTTAAAAATGAACAAATGACGTCATTCGACAAAAGCGTTGATGCTTTTTTGCAACAAAAGTCAAAAAGCCACACATGATTTTTTATTTTTGAAAAATGAAATAAGAAATTAAAAGAATCAACATCGGTCATCGAATTCAAAACAATTGTTCTTTAGGGAAAAGAATCCAACACAAAAGTCAAAGTATAGAAAAGTTGATATGATGTAGACAAAGAAGAGTATCGAGTGTAAAGATCATACACTTCGAGTAAACTTCCGTAACGTATATGGAAATGACCAGCTTCAAATCAAAGTAGGATCAAAACCATGTAACAAGTTTTTGGAAAAACATTCAAAGACAATGTGAAAACTTAAAAGATCTTGTTATGTTTAAGAAGCACGAGAGTATTTAGAGCCACCCGATTCTTTGGAATAAGAGTCCCCAGAAGGAGTAGTATAGGTTCGATCACCACTTGAGTTTTGATGAAACGTAGAATTATCAGAATTAGAATAATAGTAGGAAGAATCTCTATTGAAGATCGAAAAAAAGAAGTCGTGGTTTTGGATCAGTCTTTTGTTCGATATGAAACCATCTAAAGAAGATGATTGATAAAAGAAAGAAAAACACTAAACTTGTTGGAGTAATGATACGCGTTATCATTGGAAGCTTGGGATCCATAATCGCGATTATCGTAGCGGTTCCCTAAAAGATAAAAAGATATATATAGAAGGATGAGCAAGATGATGTGGAAACTTTGAAATCAAAATTTGGGGAAAAGAAACACCTTACCTTGAGAATTGGTGCCACTTGAGCCAGTCTCATAAGTTTGACCTTTGTTATCGGTTGGCATCTTGATAATCTTCTTAATGTGTAAGAAAGTATAACAATTGTTTGGAGACTTTTAACGAAAGGGAGGTAAGATTGAAGGATCGAACAGCTTTAAATACAAAATTCTTTCAAAAGTCTTTCAAGTTAACTCTCCGGAATTGGATGAAATCAAAAGTGACGTCACGGTCACCAGTGCATTGGTTATGTAATTATAAAGGAAAGGTACCAATTAGGCAATCTAATGTAAAGTAATCTGGTCCTAATTGCCAAAGTGAGACTATTTTAATGATTAACGGGCTTAAACCTTGCCGAGTATAGAAGCCGATGCAGGAGAGATTGAGAATTTCGTATGACGGAATAAGTAAAATTGTCATGCAAAGAGCGCCATCCTAAGTACAACATCCAAACTGGAGGAAGCATGATGACATATATCTTGTAACAACAGGTGTTGATTGCGCTCACGATATGTTCATACTTCAAAGACCACCCAAGATTGATCGGAAAGTAAAGTCAGAAAGGCTCGGCAAGGACGTTATCAATATGACTTGCATGACCTGTGCGAAGAGATGGTGTACGAGTGCCCAGTATTGTCACCCTAGGGATAAGAAGAGTATGATCGATGTTACAAGCTCAGCAAGATTCTTAACTTACTTTCAGGTTACATCAATAAAATCTCAGGGTATCAATCCTAAAAATACTTCGAGGTGATTGTATGCCTCAAAAAGATATTCTGCAAGAATTTCAATCTTTGAATTGTTTGAAGGAAGTGCGATTTTATATTCAATCTCAGCAATCTGCAGTGTCACATTGATGTATGCTGTCAGTGATGACCCGGTTTTACGCTGTGTGAATTGATCTTTACGATGTATGCTATCCAAGTTCCACAAATTCGTGCGCGTTCCACATGTCAAGGATTTCAAAGCCAAGCTCTCAAAAGATTTTGTACAATCAACCAACCAATAACGATTGCAATCTTGCTCAACGCATCACTTCCAAAAACGATCACTGATGTTGCGAGCCTCACAACAGAGGTCATGAGAATTGGGTCTGGCTTCTGGTCTGTAGATTGAGCCGGCTCAAACAGTCTTCGGCTTCACAAATGCTTGAGGTAGACTTGTACCCAGAGAAACTCGTTACTGAAATGTTCAAATGAAGCTCAGGTGTATGTCATGCACAAGAGATTCCCTCGGTGTAGTTTAGGGGTGCACATCATTTATCCAATTCAAGAGGTGCTTCTTGGGGAAAAAGAATATGTAAAACAAAAAGATCCAAGTGAAATCGTTCATGTGGTATGAGTAGAGAGAACACAATCATACATTTAAGAGAACAACCTATGCAGACTGATCTAGTAGGATTATATCATGAGACAACTTTGGTGCGGAAATTTGTATAGTGTGATGAAAGGTAATGTGAAATGATCCCTGTGATTTAAGAAGCACGCGAATATTTGGATCCACCAGCGTCCTTGGTGTATGAAGTTCCGGAAGGAGTGGTGTAGGTTCTACCACCGCTAGAGTTTTGGTGAAAGGTCGAGCTATCCGGGTTGGAATAGTAATAGGACGAGTCCCTGTTCATGTAGAGAAAATATCGTCAGTCTTTCTTCGGTTTGTGCTATCTGGATGCAATTCGAAAAACTGAACTGGTTGGAGTAGTGGTAAGAGTTACCGTTGGAGGCTTGTGATCCATAATCGCGACTGCAGTAGTGGTTCCCTGAAATATTTCAAATAATAATTAGTACAAATTGAAAACAACGTCTTGGCTACACCACGGGGCAACTTTGAACTGGGACCACGTGAAACGTAAGTTGGGTATGACCACGCCGAGTGGTTGTGTAGAACAGGTGGCAGCAGTGTGACCGCGGCTACGTGGCCCTCACCCCAGCTTGCCACCCGTTCTACATATGAGCTCGCCGTGAGCAGCGGGTGAGCTGATGCATGTGAGCGTGGCCTGAAAGCCAGGTGCTCAGCACACGAATGAACTTGGATGCCAGTCATGCAAGCTGATTTGGGTCCTAAGCACCTGGGCGGCACGTGAGCCGGCATGTGTCAGTACAACCTCCCATCCACACACTCAGCTTGGACAACTAGCATCCAAATGTGCGTCGGGTGCTGAGCAGATGGGTATTTTTTTAATGTGTGTAAAACACAAAGTGAATCGAGACAAGTACACAAAACAAGAAAAAGCCCATTGATCAATTCTGGGATCCTTTTCTTTTCTTTTTTCTGATGCATCTCCACAATTGGTTATTTTGTGTTCATACTGTAACTGATTATGAACATTTTAGATTCCTATTGAAAACAGAATCCGTAAATGCTAATTACATCAATATTGTACAAAAGTATCCTAATTACGCTATACAGTGAGAACATTTTTGTTATCAAAAGATATGTCAGCCTTATTGACACTATCAAAAAAGAACAAAACACAAAAAACACGGGTTGCTTGCATCACACACAGACATAAGAGGTATGTATAAGATAAAAGTCAACAAAAAACTTACAACCTGGAACATCAACATGTATACCCAATAGATGAACGGAAGTGAAAGCTGAGAGCAACTACTTTGATACAAACTGGCGATGATAGCTTTGAAACCCTAGAAGACAATCAAAAGACAATTGAGATACAAGGCTATTAGTATCAAGTTGAGAGTGTTGGATGACAAAGAAGAAGAAAAGACTTACCCAATGGGGCTAGCTTAATGGTTAAGAACAATCAAGAAGAGCTGTTGGCCAAAGTGATCCTGAAATTCGAAGGCCGCTTTTCCAAAAGCAGGCTGTGTAAATGTCACAGCCCGGTGTCATTTTCAGAACCGGGTACACATGCTGTCAAGTATGACGTCACAGACACATGTCACAGACTCCACAGTTACACCTTGTCCACTGCCCCAGTCTACGCTCGAGTCCTTTGTCACTCATGGGTCATCACATCACATCGATCACCTTTGTCTTGGAGGCGCTCATTCATTCGACTTCTTTGCATAAATCACCATTCTGATAGGTACCAGTTGGCTGGATTCAAGTCTTTCTTTTCTATCTAAACACTCTTTTAAATTTCATTTTTTCAGATTCATATTTGCTGACTCTAGTTCTGTTCCATTCATATTGGAGTCCTTTGATCGATTATTTCATTTGTCAGTCTTTCATTCTTTCATATTTATCTCATTCAATTTACTGTGAAGCTTGATGTCATGGTTTGCTCCTGTTTGAAGTGTTAACATCAAACCCTTTGACTGTTTGTTTCATTTGTAAGTCCTCTTCTCCCCCTGCTTGAACAATCTTCTGATATCTCAATGAAGTTGAAGACTAACCTTTTGGTACTTTTCTGTTAATTTGTTCATATATTTATCATGACTCCTCTCGACCAGATATCAATGTTGCCCTTCCTTTTTGTTCTCATGGTTCTTATCGCCCCGTACACCCGGATCGATCTCGTAGATTGTAGGTCTTTCTTTGTGTCATTTTTTTATCTCTCACTGATCAACTCATTGGCTGATTGCTCAATGATCCTCTTCAATAGAAACAGTTCATCGAATCATATTATCAAGCACTACAATCAATCATCAAATTTCACTCACAGACTATTTTTAGTTTTAGTTCTAGTCTTAGTTTTGTTGTTTTCTAACTGTTCTCCATGTTATTTGTGTTTCTATAATTACCACATGTAGTCCTTGTCAATGCAAAGATCAGATCATTGTTATAGTGTGCACTCAGCAAGCAAAGGTTGGAAACATCCCCGCCTGATTCAACTGGTGTGTTTATTCAGCCATCACGAGGCTGGGAAAGCACTGGGATGAGCCAATGCTCACAAGCTCAATACAACTTCCGTACAGTACAGGTGTGCAATCTTCCCCCCTGGTTGTCACGCAGCCTGCCTCACACCCTTAACAAGGTGAGATGACTCACCTGCTTGTCGGGTGAGTCATCACATTGTAGCAACGTGACCAGACTGGGTGTAGCCCATGCTGGCTGGCAGGTGTAACTCACATCGGGTATGACGATGTAGACAGCATGTGTTTGAATGTCTCACGTGAGCGTCACGTGCCATCAGCCCCGTGGTGTACAGCAGACAAGATCTGAAAGAACTAAAATTTACCTTGGGAATTTGTACCACTGGAGGTGGTTTGGTAATGTTGACCTTGGTTGTTGGAGGGCATTTTGGTGACTTGAATCTAAGTTAAGACTAGATGAATGATGTGGGCTTGGAGGGATGGATAATTTTCAAAAAAAAGGCAGACAAAGAGACAGCTTTATATACGAAATTTGTTCAGTTTTTTTTAAGAAAACCCTCAGAAATTTGATCAGACTGAAGTCACATGTTGACTAAAGAAGCATCCGCCAAAGTCCCGATCGGATAGCATGATTTGGTCCCAATTGCAAGTAAGATTTGTTTTGAAATTTGGTCAGCCCAAAAGGGTTCCGTGTTGGAGTATTCAGAGAGTATCACACCACCATCGCTCTTGAAACTGGCAGCGGTATGTCCCAATTTGGAGGCTTCTAAAAGCCTAATTTGATATGGTGCATTCACTGCGGCTTTTTTTACAGATCAGCACCGGGTATCCCCAACAAGCCCTGCATCATCTCGCGATGAAATGAAAGGTATTGTCACGGAATTGGAGATGGATTTGGCAATGAGTCGTCAAAGAAAGTATACATGCAAAGCCAACCTAGAGACTGGGAAGTGGGAGCTATTACGTGGGAAAAAATTGGCGGTGTTCTGCCTTTGATTGAAAAAAGAGCACCGTCTAAAGTGCACATTGAAGAGGAATGTGACGTAAGCTTATATGTCGAGAAAAAAAGGGTGGATTGTAGCAGGGTCTGGAAACATTTAGAAAGTTCCGCTTATGGAGTGACCAAACAGGCTTAGGAAATGAACTTGACGGAAGAAGATTCGACTTCAGGGTGTGTTGTCTAACATGAGTTTAGGTGTGTCGACTTTCAAGTCAGAGATGCTGGGCAGTCAGCCGAGGGCATGGTCGCATCCGCGGAACTAGGGAACGTTCCCAAAAGAAAGTTCCTTAACACCCCCCTAGGAACCTGTCATAGCAAGTGTCACACGAGCCTGAGAACTCGTAAAACCTTTGCCTCGGACAGATGATCCACACGCGTTTGACGCAGTGGGATACCCACCTATCACGATACCGCACTCCCAATCCAGCGCCATAGCGGACCACGATTCCCAAACCACGATTAAATATGTGAAAACGTCTGACAAAACGAGCACCAATGGCCACCTCAACAATATCCAAACTACGAAAGAGGGCGTTATTAACCCTCCTTGACGACTTTACCAAGAACCCTCGAAGGTTTAACAAACGGCCCAAACTTGGTCGAGCATGTCCTTATCTTCACACCAAACGCGCAGCAAGAAGAAATATAATGCCACCGCCGTCTTCTCCTTCTTTACCGCTTCAACCAGTTGAACCTCGCATTATCAAGGAGCTGCGCTCTGGCCAATTAAACATTCGCAACCACCTACTTTTTCAATTTCACTATCAATTTAAACCACAGTCTGTTTGTGACCGTGTTTTCAATGCCCACAAATCTTGTACTACATTATCCTAACCTCATTTATGAACGTCGGCTTCATCCACACAGTCAGCTACAGGTCGAAAACGGTCAATCAACAGGCTTTTGTTGTTCTGGTCTTAGTTGCAGACTCAAACCCATCCACTCTTCGAAGTATTACAATCCTCGCCATCAACCCAACAAGCCTTTAATCGGTATCAAGGTACGCTGCATTTGACTAATCTTTCATTATCGGCTGGGTAATATCTAATATTATCCCCATATGTGTCTCTGCCAGTGCCCATTCCAAGGTGGCTCCATTCGCACATATAATCGCTTAAATTTCATTCAGGACATTCGCACATTGAATCACGCAACTCACCCTTCATCCGACAAACCAGCCAACAATCAAGAACAACATTCCAGTCCTTCAGTTCAGCGTCACAAGAGAATAAACCATCACCACAATAATAAATCGATGCCTGACAATAAACGAGCGCGATTGCCATGTGCGGGAATAGACGGGGTAGTTACTCACAAAGGAAAATCCAAGCACAGCAATCGCCAATGCCAATGGCAAGCGTGTACTGATGTAAGTGTGAAGACCTCTACAACACCGAAAGACATTTGAGCTGATGAACGTGTAATCTTATAATCTATGACATGCAGTGCTGCCAATCTCAGCGAGATGCAACTGGATCAAAGTGCCACACACACAAAAGCGGGGAGCGTGCAAAGAACGTCATACCAAACACCCAACCTTTCCTTAATACCGTCATTGAAACCGCAGAAACTAGCAACATTGGACTTACGCCCGCGACAAACAACCATGACAGCAATTCCAGCTCACAAATTAACGATGCGAACTTACTTGGGCCGGCCCCACCGCTGCATCCTTTGGTTCTATCACCTTCTACTATGCGCATGTACCACCTCAACCGATCAAATGAAGAGGAAGCAAAGCGAGCAGTAGAGGAGGCCGACGCAAGATGCGACAAAAACATCTCTATATCGTTATGGTTGAAGGTACGCCAGCGTATAAACCCACCATTTCCAATACCTTCCTTCAGATCAAGTTCACAAGTCTTACAAGCGTTTATTGCAGGCGGAAGACGATCCAATCCCCTTCATGTTTGCATCCAAATCCATGAAGCAATTTGCGATATCCAAGTGTGAAGCATTGATGATTTTTCTTAAAACATACGATCCTCATTGGAACAAGTTACTGCGTGTGTACGACGCCAGATCAGACAGATGGGTGAGTTCAATTTGTCTACGTTTACTCCGAAGAAACATGATTGATATTCACCTCCCTTTATATGTTTAGAATTTCACCTTGGTCGAAACATCAATACCTATGTTGAACCCGCTTCGCGAAGCGTTGGTCTGCTTGTCCACAGTGGACCCGAAGTTGTGCCAAGGTCTGCCACCACTTCAAGCCAGGCTCAGCCCAGCAGTTAGGTCGAACATCCGAGCCACAGTTGATTCACTCCGAGCGACACCCATCCAGACGCCCAACAACAATCGAATTTACACCATTCAATCAAGTTCCGGCTCAGCAACAAGCTCCTCCAGCTCCTACGGGAGCAACAATTCGCCAATGCCCGTTGCTTCCAAACACCGCAAAACCCCTCCAAATGCAGATGAACCAACACCTTTGCTTTCGATCACAATCCACCATGGTGCCAACACAGTCGAAGAACCTGAGATCGAGGTCGTTGCAGTCAGAGGACCAAAATTCTCTTGCAACATATTCAATGAACCACCAAGCCCTACACCTATACCTCCAGTATCGAAAATCATCTCACCTTCCACCGGCGATGTAGTAGCTGCAAATGAGGACATTTCGTTCAGCAGTTCACCCCCTTCCATCAGTGAGCATCCTGCTCTTCGTGACAGTGCACCAGCGGCCAGCAATCAACCACATATTCCCACGGCGGAGGCGGTCACCTCGGCTCCTGGCCCAGTCACAAAAAGGCGGACGGAAACCACCGGTCTGGTATGTGTATCTATTATTTATATCTATCCAATCATATATTTATCTGATGATTCAACTATTCAACAGTGGCCATCCAGCGACATTCCCATGCAAACTATGCTGCAATGGTATTCAAAACACAAGGCCACGCCAGGTAAGCAGGGAGTATGGAAATCTTTCTTCGGGAAAGAATATGTATATGAGCGTTCTGCGATGTATCGCTACATACGGTGGATCAGAGAGGTCACCCCAGAGAAATGGGAAGAATTTTTGAAGCATTGTGACCGTCACAATGTTGCCGCCACGTTTGGCACAGCCAAATCTCCAATTTGGTTTGCTAAACAATTAGGGGAAGCACGATGATGAACACGTTCTTCCCATTATTTCTTGAACCCTGTCATTTCTATCATCATGTCATTCCATTTGCTATGTAGTCAATTCCATAACTGAGGCCTTTATTTTCAACCTATCACAATCACCATCTCTCATACTAACTATGGAAACTAAGTTGTTTAGTCGTGATGTTCCCCCTATTTTTTTTTCTCGAACATAATGTGTCATCCATGTTTATTACTCAATTTAGTGTCAATAGTTGTTCAAAGATGTTATTTCCTCTTTCAATGATTCTTGTGTCAATATGATCCTCATTTACAACGCAATGCAGCTGAGTAATAACCCCAGAGACAACAAAAGATGTCAATGACACGCAAATACTACATATTTATGGCAAAGGAGTAACAGTGAGAATGTAAGAAAGAATACTAGTCTGAAGGCCGCCTTCTGGAAGGATGGAAGGATGAGCTAACTTTACCGACACCTTTATGCAAAGATAAACATACAAAAGCTAGCAAGGCAAGAACAAGTGTCTGGCGGAAAATTGTACGATCACATCACAACACCAAACGTACAAGGCCAAGCTTGTTGCATATTTGGGTACAGTGATGCCCCCCTCTGAAGTCAAAAAATGGCATGTCCATTTCTTCACTATTCTTCAAATAGTACGAGCTGCACATCACCAGATTGATCGAACCGTCGTCTGTAAGCAGGAAATAGCAGCAGGAAATAGCAAGCCATCATAGTACAAAACTTACGATTTATTGAAACAGACAATATTTGTCAAACTTCCCAAAATGTCACAGTCGACTTGAGCTAAGAGAGTGACTCCTCCACTCTTTTGATAAACATAATGAATGAGAGCGAAGATTATAGCTTTCCAAGGATCTGAAGCGGGCATAGAGTCCCTGAAGCACGACGGGTAGACATATCGTTTACTGGTTGGGTGGTGGGCAGTTTCGCATATCATCCAACGAGGCACGTCATCATCAAGTTGACCAATTGTTTGTATCAAAGAAACACGAGGGACCTATATACAGACTTGCAATGCAGTTAGATGACGATGCCAAACGACAAAGGACCAACACTTACGTGTAAAACCGACGCGCGAAAATACCAATCGCGGAACTCCATAGCTAATGCATCTTCAGGTTGTTTTTGCTCCTCCCACAATTGGTGCAAACTCAATTTGAATAATTGAAGCATGGCCTCAACATAAGCGTGAGCATTAACCAGTTCGACAGCGGTCTCTCTACCGGCCTTAGCATAAAAGGACCAACGATGGTGAAACCTTACAATGCCTGCATACGGCATTTCAACACCGTTCCCTTGCATCTCCCGAACAGACCATTCATTGATATCTTGTGTTTTTGATAAATCAACACTACTTCCGATTTGGTAGACTGCGACTGATTCTGAAATAGAATCGCAACTGTCCGGAACGTAGGTTGGTTTGGTACAGTTCTTGTTGTAGAAGGTGTCCCAACGATAAATGAATGCCGCACGTTTAGAAGGTAAATCAGGTCGCCAGGTCAAGATGCGAGTCGGAAGGGATACACATATTACAGTACCATGACCTATTACTTCTAAACCAGGGTGGACAAAACATATATGTGACGGCATTCAAATGATACAATTGTGAGTCAAACAAGAAAATGATAAGGGATGGGACATGAAAGAAGGTCACCTTGCGATGGGCCGTGTCTCACAGCAGGACGAGCCCTGACCTTGATCATAGTTCGGGAAGTCGGAATCAATTGTCCAGAACGTGCTTGGTCAACTGGATCTGGATAACGGCTTTCTTCACCGGCAGTTTCAACAGAACCATGCACCGCGGTGACGGAAGTAGGCGATTTAATTGGGGGGTTTTCAATGAAAATGTTGGTAGATACTATGGAAGGGGTGGAGATCACCGACGTAGCGGCGTCATTTTGCGTTGAAGTAGTTTTGGAGAAGGCAGCTTCATCAGAAGCTGGTAAGGGGCTGACAGATGGCATGATAAAGTACGAGTTGCAGATGGACCTCAACTATAGAGGGGTGTTTGGTTTTATACCATCACACCCAAGGTAGCATTATCACACCGAGCAAATACGCTAAGCTGACTGAGGACACAAAATCACTAGTGCCAATCCTTTTGGGTTATGTGCAATTGCCATCAAAATATACATCATTGCATTTCAGTCACTTCCGAACTCGTATTTCCTATCATCATATATATATAATACTATCACTAATACATGTTTAGCACTAACAATCACTACCGATCACTTCGTGTATATAATATCTTATCAATAATACATCTTGAGCACTCCCGATCACTACCGATCACAACTTGAGGACTGCCGATCACTACCGATAACTCAATTTATCCTTCATATGACTTCTTATTCCTCTGCCAATCGAGCCAATCAAACATGAAACTAAATGATACCTTAAAACCTTAAACTATGTTGAAAGTACAACCGGACTGACTGATCAAAGCAAGGTTGGGTCGTAATGTTCCGCCTATTAAATTGTGATGTCAGAAATCATCAACATTGGACGCTAAAGTACAATTTGCCACTCACAAAGGACTTTCCGCCGCTTCCATTGGACGCAACTGCGTCTGGGAAGGTAATGCTTCCCAAAAAAATCACACTAGTATCGGGCTGGGACACTAAGGCTATAGTTACATCAATCAGCATGGTCATCCAAATTTGCTCACCTATAATAAAGGACTTACGGTGGATCTTTGATGCATCGTGTTTTTCCACAACATGTTCTCCGATTTTGCCTCCAAAAGTCTTGTTATGATGACTCTCAGGTGATTTACAAGGGTCCGGGACGCCCTGCGAGGCTTTATGGAACGAAACCAACACGATTATATGAGTATTACGTGGCGTGCAATATTCATTACAATGACTTACCGCGTTTTTCCACCGCGTCTAGGTGGTCCATAACCTCACGCGTCCAAATGTTATCGTCACCATCTATGTAGTAAGTTACAATCCGGTTTGATTAGCATAAGCACACGTCAACAAAATCGATGAGCTGAAGTGCCTTACCAAAGGCGTCTGCGAGGCTCGCCTTCGCAAGATCTTCTGGCTTCATATATAGTTTGTCTAAGCTATATGACAGGCCGTTTCGGGTGCGACGCCAATCATTAAAATGGGCACCACCCGATTTAATGTGGCTGGTGTAACACATCATATGTCCAAGTTTGCCGCATTTGAAGCATTGGGGTATACCAGCCTTAACACAGGGGTGCGCCTTGTCGGTAATCGGTAAGGGGAATATCTCCGTCTTTGAGCGCGCATCTAGACCCTTGAACCACGCTAACTGTTGCAGGGTGGGATGATTCTTGATGCTGCGAGTAGGTGGCATAACGAGATTGAAAACGAGGCAACGGTTTGGATAGATGAACAATACTATTAGGTTTGTGATTCTTAGATATTGGGAAGAGTTAGTTGGATGATATATTATAGGGTCACTATAACCGAACTGGCACGGAGAAGGACGACTGAGCGCAACAATGTAACGGAGAGATGATATCTATTTATATTCACACATTCTATGCTACAAGCGAACATGTTTCAGTCAGTCAACATCCTACAACATTGAGAAGAGGAGACGCGACGCGATTGCTTGGACGACTTGATATGAGTTTATGAGGAGATTAGATCGACCATTAGTTAGGATGTGAGTTTCAATAACAACCTTTCATATCCGTGTAGCAGCATAGCAGCTTACTGACTCATACTGACCACATATTATGGTCAAACATCCAAAGAAATTCGCAATCAGATGTGAGGGAGGGCAGTGTTAAACGTTGTTTATAATCAGAATCACTCACGTTTTCCAGCGACCGATTGGAGTTTGCCTTTGCATCGCGGGTTGATACTGATATGGTTATTTACAAAATCAATATAATTGTATGATATATATTTTAACCTTCACACGATCACACTTGAAGAAGCCGATCATGACTCATCACAATGGCGTCAGTCACGCGCGACTGACGCCGTTAGGATATTGTTTGTTTGTAACCAACCAAGGAATTGGTACGGCACCAAACTTAATATCTGATCACCGTTCCATCTTCAACATCAACAGCGTGATTGGATAACCGTCTAAGGTTACCTCATGTATGTAAGTCTGAGCGAAGTTCGGCGTGACGTGATTGTTATGTATAACTCAGGAATACCAAAATACGACGATACATTTGCGCGTAGATGGATATGGCTATACGATACACGTAGATAACAATAACTTACACAAAGTTACCTAAATTGTAACATTTTACCGTTTGATATCCGTTTGGAGATAACGGGAAGACATCCGCGCGATCAATAACGTACAACATGCATTGTATAACCGCGACTTTGTTGGATGGAGAAGGAGAATAGATAAGATATGATATTGTAATACAATGTAATACGAAAAAAAATTCAGTGCGAATAAACATTTATGGATATGTATCACTATACATCAGGCAATTTAGGGACTGAGACGCATAATATCCGACGAATCACCTTGCTTGCCTCCGCTTCCTTGGTTCCTTTTAAACTTGGTGAGACATAAATGTTCACATATTTTATTGCAATCGTGTTGTTCAGAAAACTTGATGAAGGCACGGTTGATTTTTGCTAGCATTTCCGCGCTGTCGTTGCAGTGTGGTGGATTCCTAGTGCACTCGGATTAGAGGGAGTACATCAGTTACGTTTTTAAACATAAGTTGATTGAGAGAGTTTAACTTTCAGTAGACTGACCCTTTTGTAGCCATAACTATATTCGTTATATGGCCCTCTTCATTACATTCGAGACTGGTAAATAGTGTGCGTCTCCCAGTTACCTTGTAAGTATAATGAACCCAAGCGAATATAAGCTCTGTCCAAGTCATCTTTGCCTGAGGAAAGTTTTGAAAGTTATCCTCCTCAATGAATCGGTGAGAGGTGATTGCGTCGGATTTGGCCTCGCAAATTACCCATCGCGGATTATCGTCGATGTTGAATAGATGAGCTAGAGTCTGCATGACCGACATTGCTGGAAGCTAATGAACGGAGGGAGGATGAGGAAGGACCAAGTGATGATATGATATACAGTCAAGTGAAAATACCTTCAACCCCTGTGATTCTGAATACATAGCCCGGTGCATATCGTTGGGCGTTCCGCGCTTGTGTTCTTTTCTGTCTTTGTGGATGCAAATAGATTGGCGAAAAGCTGGCAACATCATGGCAGCAAAGCGATGACATTGAAGACGCTCGAAACAGTGGGCTCTGCCGTTCTGAGTCCATTCTAAGTTGTGTTTGACAATATACATGCCACAAAGCTCTTTGTGTTCTTCTATGTAGACCCTTCTAGCCACCCAATGGCCATGGTCTCTGGGTGGCAAAGTTACGGGTCGCTTGATCACGTATGAGACTTTATGTTTCATAAAATTCAACCACTCATACGGATTGTAAGCAGGGATGTTTCGGCTGAAGCTGGCGTCGAACAAACGGTAGATGCGTCCTTCTACGGTACCACACATGTCCTCTATAGTTTCGTAGTAGAGAGTCCTTTCACCGCCGGAGGAATGTGCATCTAAAAAGGGCAAAATGATGAGATGAACAGGCGGCATAGCTATGAGGAATGGCATACTTACCCAACGTCCCATCCGTGTCATCGTGGTTGTCTACGTAGATCATTGGGATGTAATGTATGTAGGAATTTGGACGTGAGTGAGGTATTAGTTAGGTGGTGGTTGGATTGATGGCTATACCTGAAGAGTTATTTTTGGACGAATCGTTATGGACTTGTACGTCCTGGTTCGCCTCATTATCGTTATCTGAGTTGTCATCGTCGGAATGGACATGAGCCACCACGTCCTCAACATTGGCTTCGTGGTTGTGACCCATTTCTATGTTGCTTTGTAATCAACGATTGGTTTTGTAAGTGATGGACGAGATACAAAGTCTTACCTGAGACTGTGTGATCGACCTCGTTCAACTTGTCGAGGGACCGTGGATGTGTGGTGTTCAAAACGTGCTCTTCGGTCGCATGTTCATGCTTCTTTGCGCTGGGATTTATGATAATAGAAAGATTTGGGTCACTTGGTGAGGGCATATTATTGATTGAGGTTTGTGCGGTATGGTAAATATTTAAGAGGGGATTAATGACACTGGTGAGGTCACTTTGGACTTCTCTTATTGGCATGAGAGCGACATATATATCTATCTATCTCCCTAACCGAATGTGCGTTTATGATTGTGAGGGTAGCTTGGCAGGGCTTGGCAATATGGTAAGTACTCGCGTGTGCTCGCGTCAATCGGAGGACACACGACATAAATCGTAATTATCAAACAAGTAATAAATTCCGGCTAAGGTAGTGGGAGATGCAGGCAATACAAAAAGAAACGAGACACATAAGGTTTACGCATGGCAGCGAGTTCAAGAAGGTAACAATTGAAGATTTACAAATATAGGAAGAAACATGGAGTAGCGGTATCAAAGTGAAAGTGGGAAAGGACTTTGTTGGGCAAGATGCGAGGGAATATTACAGCAAAATGTAGTTTTCTTTACAAGCTTCGAGAGGAGCGAATCATTTCGCACACGGATCATCTCCTCCAGAAAGAACCTGTAGTTGATCTCGTGCATTCCACGGCAAATTGAGAGAAAACCGCCATACCATGCGTTAGTAATCTCGGCTGCAGACCCATTAAACCTCCAATTGCCATCAGGTTTCTTGAGGAAGGGCCACCGCTTCGGGTCATTGAACTTACGGCACTGAGCATCTTTCTCGGAGTGAGTGCGCATGTGGAATGGATCGACCGGCCGGATTGTGCCCTTCAGCCGTTCCGACGCCTCGGGGTCCTTCCTGAGTGATTTATCAAACGTGCATGAATTATCAAAGAATTGTATTGGCGGTAGAACGGGGAATTTTCTTTCCAGTATTTCCTGATTAGTCAAATGTATGAGAATCTGTATACTGCCGAATATCAAGGTCATGGTTGAGGTTCAACTGGACTCACCCGAACCAATATGACAGACTCTGCACAATACATGGTCTCTCTGGCAAGGGTTATACCGCAAGTACCCACAAACAGTAGGTCATTGTGCGTCTTGGCATTTGAGCATAATGGCTTCTTCTGGATTGCTGCAGGTCGAAACGTATCTTCTCCGTCGCGACCTGCTTTGTGCGTTCGATCTGACTCGTCTGTCTCAATCAACGCATCTAAGTTGAAGGCGTCTGTGTCAGCGTTGAGGGCGGCAGTTGGGTCCTCGGGCAATTTTGCACCAGTTCGCTGGTTGAAAGCCAGAGCAGCTCGAGACCGGTGTGTCTTCTCGTGTCGAATCGCTATTGCTACTTGGTGCTCTGGTATGTCGCATGCCTTGGTGGTGCCTATTGCGTCGCGCGTCCAAGGTTGTGCATGGCATAGTTTGCCAAGGATCGGGCTGTGGACTGGGCAATATCGATCTTTTGGGGTCTCGAGCATGACTGTGCACGGCGGTGGGTTAGATATCAGCGGGTTCATAGATATCAGTTGCTCCTTTGTGGCACTGCATCGTGGATGCCCGATGGTAATGCCGTCCATGGCGATTGCGCGAAGAGCTGGGTGAGCAATGGTGTAAGATCAGCTCCGTGGTTCACCTGTCGTTGTTGGTTCAATCAATGAGTGTTGTTACTTACCCAAGCCGCCGCCGGGTACATTGGGATCTTCAAGGATCTTGGTGCATTCAGAGCACATGTGATCGAGGTTTGGGCTGCCTTCGAGTTCCATCCATGTTAAAATGGCCTGTTTAGCTTCACGGAATCGATGTCGGGACCCTCCTGAATTAGAAACGGTCATATGCCGGTCGCGGAGGTTGAAGTGGCGGAGTAGCCGCTGCAGATCCAACGCTGTGGTGCAGCAGTGGTCTGACAGCGTGGGCTTGAAAAACTCGTCAACGAAGTGATTGGGTGCCGGCTCATGCAGCTTGTGAGAACTATTGTAAATGGTTACCAAGTTGTATATTGAAACGCTGTATGGGGATTAGTTTATGTGATTAAAGCTCGTGAATGTGAATGTCTGTACTTACTGAGGTAGGGATTGGGAGTGGTTGAAAAACTCAAGCAGCCGGAGAGTCATAAAATAGTGCATGTTGACTTGTATGCAGTCTGGATCTCTTCTGACGGTGTTCAAGTAGTAAGTTCGTTCGTCCTTGTTGGAAAAGTACAAAGCCCTGAAGCTGGTCTTGCAGTCTGACGCAAGGAGGGGATTGGGGAATGAGCTGCCGTCGACTGGGTTTGTATTATGAATATGAAAAACTCACGGCGGCAATATGTAGTATGGTGCCAAATTGACTTGACTCCGTCTAGGTCGTAGAGGTACCCGCATAAAGGGGGGCGCTTTTCCAATCGGCGTCCAGTGACGCGGCACTCTGCGGTGGGACATTCATCTTGGTAAGGTGGCAAGAATATTCTTTCAGCAATGGTCGGCGCGCCGGCTGCTTGAATGAGGCCTTTGTCTCGTTCTTGCTTTGGAGGATCCGCGTGCAATGTGAATAGAGTAGGGTACAAGACCGTCCATAGTACCTCCCATGTGCCGGGTACTTCTGGGGGTCGGAGGGCAGCATTGAGATATTCGTACGGGGCATTGTCCTCGTCAATTGGTATAGATCCTTGATTGATTGAAATGAAGTGGCTAGCGACCGTAACGAATTGGAATACGTCTGCGGCATCAAGGCTTGCCAGTGAGGGGAACTCGGACAAGTGTAGATGTAAATCTGATATGCGCATTTTGTGATGGTGTTGGAGGTGGTTTATTATTCGAAGAGGGTGATCACTGATAAGAGTTGGCGGATAGATTACGCGGGATATATGTGTGTGATAATGGAAGTCAGAATTGTGAGACTGTATATATGTAAGCGACATGGGGTGAACCGGATGCGGACTTTACTTCCAATTTGATTTGACGTATTGGGCGTAGGAACGTAGTTCCTTATGTAGCGAGGGAACGTTCCAAAGCTCCTCAGGTGCGACCATGTTCTGAGTCAGCCAAGACACGAAAACACGGATGTAAAGTTTTGTAATCGTGATTTGACATACTCAACTTGTTGCAAGATGCATGCGCTCTCAAAGCTTTGTCTGTTTTTCAAAATCAGAAGTACTTTTTCAATCTCTGGGTTACGCTCTGAGTTATCTGCAAACATCTAAAGAAAGGAAAGCTGGCAGGGTAGAAAAAGGGACAAATCAAATTGTTTCTATAAAGTAACAGATGACTGCGGATTGCGTGCAGAGGGTGATTGGGGCACTCAAAGTTGAAGAGTTGACAAATATGAAACTGCAGGCTGTTGTAGCTCTGTCAAGGATGACAAGCCAAGGGTAACGATAATGGCAGATATGCACGAAAAAGAAATCCAAGAGAAAGGTACATAGCATTTGATAGACTTGCACTACGTATGATGTTGAATAGGTTCATTGGCGGTGAACATTGGATGTCAACTTCCAAGCCCATGAGGAAAACATCAACAAGCCAAAGAATCAAAGCATCAAAGGATTAACGGATCAAAGGAGTGAATTTAACTGCTCCTGCGGCTGCATCCTCGAGAGACACATCATCATATGAGCCTTGAGGTATTCCATGATTAGACCTTTGTCCCCGGCTCTGAGCAAGTTATCCACACAGTCCATCTCCAAGAACCCAAGGATGTTTATCCGTGATCAGGACTGTCCCTGCATAATTCATTGGACTCTTTCATAGAAAACCTGTATAAGATCATCTCGCAAGGAAGTTGGCACTCCCGATAGCACTGGTGATTTCTTGTCCTCGATGAGAACTATCTTATATAATTTGCTTACTGTGGGTTGGGTTGTCATAATCGTTAAGGGAATGATATGTACATCTGTTGTCAGCGTGAACCATGGCGGATCACATTTACGATCCTTCAACCTTCTTTCCGAGTGAGCTTCGTCTATCCCGAATTGACGCGAGATATGGAGGCACTTGACACAAGTTTCGAACCACGGTATGTATCTGCTTTACTTGATCATCTCGAGTCTACAGCAGTCTTGGCTTGCGGATGACTGTGGATTAAACTTATCGAAGTGATATTTATCTTTCACTGTCAGCCAGCTTCCTCAAAGCGCAGCGAGGCATCAGAATCTCGAACGAATTTCATCAAACCACTGACTGGTTGAACTTCGCACTGAAATGGTATCACCATCACTGTACATGATAGCTGAAACAGAACGGCAGACGGTTCACGGATGACGAATCGGAAACTTGGTCCCAATCGCCGCATCATCCTAGGGGAAGATGGCGAGCTTAAAATTGTACTGATCGTCTTTCGCGAACATTAACTTCCTACATCACCCTATCTCTCTGATCTCGCCAACCCAGTTCACTACGACCCCAAGACGACTGCTTCCATCTATACCCTCCCTATCCTCTGGTCGCACGCATATACTGATATACTTCAAGCGAGGACTTTCCCATCGGCCCCCTTTTCACTGAACACACGGCCATTCAAGTCAAAAATGTGGGTTCCAAGCGCTGGTGTCGCTCTATGGCTTCTTCTCGCAAGCTCTCGTCAAGTTGAGGCAGATTGTACTGGTACCATTTCCGTCACGGGTACTGCCCTCGAGATTCACAACCTACAGTATGTCTCGCGTCCTGTGTTTGTTCATTTGCGATAGGTTTTCACCTGGTACTCGCTCTTTCACAGAGGAAATCAGTACAAGCAAGAAGTTGGAAAAATTGCATTCAATCTAGACATGGCCGGTAACCTGAACCTGACATCCATAACGTGCGTGCTTTGTAACCAATCTCCCTATCGCATGTGTTTTGAATTGTCAATCCGAGCCCACCTTCGTTGTTTACGCCGACATTGTCGAGCGAGACCCCGGGTTTTGAAATGCTCTGGCTGATATGCTTTCTCATTTTCTCTGATCGGAATGGTCATTGTTTTATTCGAATGAAGCCCGACTTGGCACTGTGGTCCGTTGATGAACTTTGTCAGCTCAAACGCTACACAATCTAAGGGAAAAGATAAACCCAAAGAAGAGCCTCAACCGATTCACAACGTTGGTGCACAGCTGTAAGTGAAGCAATTCACAGCTTTATCCTCGTCAGTCATTTGACCCATGTATAACCCAATCTTCGATGTCAGACATTGTTACAATGAGCCAGTAGATGTCGACGCTACCTGGGAATCACCCTGGAAGACAATCGTCTTCTATGGATCATTATTCATTGAGTAAGAATGATCATTTTCTTGCCATTCACGTCTGCACTTAGCTCAATCTTCAAAGCCAGAGTAACTGATCAAGTACTGAATTGGAAATCGCAACAGGCTTGCTTCTGATGGAAACAGCTGCACCAAGCCAGCCGATATAGTTCTCGACTATAGTAGGTGCAGTTATAACACCACCACGATTACCGGTAGGAATGCAACTGGGATCCCATGCGAGTAAGTCTATTTCTTTTCCAGTACGGTTCGCTCTTGAACACTGACTTATTGTCTGTATCTGATTATTCCGAAAACTCAAGATGGACAGCGGTTGCTGCCCCTTAGATTACTGGATCCCAGTCCACAGCTTTGACGATATAGTCGATCAACTCGTACACCCCAATACCTTCACAACTTCCGCTTTAGAACACCTCGGGAACTCAGTTATGTGTATATCAAACAGTCACAAATTTCATACAATTTCATTATTTCCATCTTCTAGAATTCTCTTGTTGCTTATACCTTGAAAGATACCCTCGTGCAATGTCATCGAATTTCACAATTCCCTCCTGTCAACTTTTCCCTTGATTACTCAACCTGAGTATCACTGGCATGAAATGGGTACGGCCACAAAGAAATCCCCAAGCAGTTTTGTTTTGAATGAGAGCAAGAACTTTATGTGCAGTGTGCGCGTACGTCTGGAAAGGCTAAAGTTGGCATTCATGAATACCAAGTAACGTCCGAGACATCATCAATGGAAAGTGCCAGAATATGTCCAGCTCTGTTTTGATCTACAAAAAATGTTTGGAAATGTCTTTTGTAGCTCAGCATGAAGTCAGGCAAACAATATTCCTGGAAGCAATATAGTACAGAAGGCACAAAGGGTTTAACCAATGTACATCGTGGCTCCTGTTGTGTGGGCCTTGATCTGGTACCGCAGGTACCAATATTCTGATACTTGCATTGTATGTTAACCTTTAAACTGGTGTAGACACTATGTAAATTCAGCCTCACAGTGAGTGACAAGGATTTCAATTGGACTAAGGAGGTACAGAGGGGTGGTTTTATGAAGAGGGTTGACTGATAGTTATAGAGGAGGAAGTGTATAGTTTGACATCTTATAATTGGTTCATGTTCACTCTACCAGCTTGGTGGGTCATCTATTTTTATCCTCTGCAATGTTCACTGCTTTGGTGTGCTGCCCAAAGAAGAAGAGCCTTGATAGAGTTGTTGATAGGTAAGAGTAGATGTAGAAGCTTCTCACAAGAGACTCTTCCAGCTTACTAAGTGACAGTGTGTCTATAGCACAATCCTGACATTGCTGCTACGTCAAGAGCATGTATATGTATGCCCCGGAGGCTTTTTGCTCATCATTAGAAAGCACCAGGATAATCTGATCAAGAGTAAATGACTTCTCAGCCCATGAACCAATAAAGCCACTATCTTCAAACGACTAAAAGAGAATTATCTCTTGCCAGAATTCTCTTCCCAGATAATTACGAGGAATAAGTACATAATAAAGCAAATCAAGAGCCATTTCACTCGACCACAACCGCAATAGCCAAACGTACAATTACAAGAAAAGCATGATGTCAGGTAAACACTATGTGTCAGGTTCTAATGAAGGTTTTGCATTCTTCTTGTTTAAATACCGATCCATTTCCATCACATCCCTATTCAATTTATCTTTATCTGTCAATACCTTTACAGTCTCTGACTTTTTCAACTTCTTTGCTTTCCTCTTCTCTTCTCTTTCTTGTGCTGCATCTGCTGCTAGGAGTGATTTGATGTCTGTTGATCCTGAAAGACCTTCCAATCTAGTCATCAAACCTGGTTGACTAGCTTCTTCTTGTTCTGGCGCGTCATCCTCTAGGTGACCCACTTCTGTTGTTTTTCGGCTATGATTGAGCGACGCTCCTGGAGTTGAGATCGGCTCGGGTATCTCTGGGGATTTGTCATCGGATACAGGATCGTCTTCGAAGTAGTTTTTGCGCTTTACTGCACAAGTTGATGATGAGGCTTCGGGTAAAGGGAGTGGAGACGAGCGGGTAGGGGCCTCCTCGTCTCCTGACTCAGATGAATCATCACCAAACGGCTTATACTCGCCCACATCACCAAAGATGTCAATATCATCATCTACTTCATCCTTTTGTGCAAGTGGAGGAAGCGGTTGTGAGACTGGATCTTTCGCGGAGCCTGATGGCGCAAGTGATTCGAATTCGACGGGCTGAGAAGGTCCAGATTGTGGTTGAGTTTCCAACGAGCCGGACCCGAGAGTTTTTGGCGAGGAGGAAGTCACTAGATTGGGCTCCGCTGCAAAAGATCTTGAAGGTTCAGGGGTCGGGGAAACCTTTGGATGTGAAGATGGCTCCCTAGGATCGCTAGATTTGAGAGCCTTTGGGCTCGGCTTGTCGGCGTCCGCTTTGGCTGCTTTCTGTAGTTTTTTCTCTTTCTTCTCCTTTTTCCGTTTCTTTCGTTCTTTACGTTCCTGCTCCTGAATCTCAGAAGGCGTTTTTTCAACAGAGCCAATCGGCTTGAATTTGCCAACTGTCTTGAGTTTTTCAACAACGACCAGATCATCTGGTACCGAGGAAGACACATTCGAACGTGATGATTTCAGACGGGCTAATAATTCGTCTCGTTGAGAGATTTTACCAGACGATTTGCGTTTTGATGAAGGAAGTTGATCGTGAAGTTGATTAGGTTCCTGACGCTGAGTTTCTTCAAAGGCAGCCTCCAAATCATCATCAGTAACTTGTCCAAGTTGTCCACCTATTGAAAGTTCTGCCTTCCTTCTTTCTAGCAAGGCGTGATCTAAACCTTTGACCAAGATGGTGTGTCGTTCATCTCCTCCCTATGGCATTCAAATGAATCAGTGATGAAATCGTGAGAAGAAAGAGTTTTAGACGTACAAGATACTTTGTCTGTTGTTCAAGAAGCTCGCGGTCAACTTGGTCGCTAGCAGCCGCGACTCGTGCTTGAAAGTTCTGCAAAGAAAACGCAAAGTCAGTCTACATACTCTGGGTGAAACTTACCACAAATAAAAAAAATTACTTCTAGTAAGCTTTCTGCTTCAGCAAAGTCTCCATCCTTCCCTTGACGACGTTCCAAAGCCCTATCCCTGTAACCACTCTCTACATCCTTTCCTTTCTTTTGACCTGATTCCTCGTTCTTAGAGTTGAACTTGCGAGGCTTCAATGAACTGGGTGGCTTGGATTCTGAAGTTTGATCCGATCTGAAGGTGTCGATTTCCAGAATATCGTTCAATATTGCAAACGGATCAACGCCAAGTGAGAGGATACCAACTGGTTGCGTCCATTTTCCGGTCGTGAGCTAGATGCACCCCAAGCAGGTCGACCACCAGCTCTTGCAGGTTTTTTGGTGCGATCCGAAGTGCTTGCTGCTGAAGGGGCACTGAGGAGTGCCCGAAATGCTTGCTGATCCATGTGATGAACTAAAAAAATTAAGCGACAATGAAAGTATTCTGTCTTATGAACATTCACTATTGCAATCAGAGAAAGTTGATGAATATGTACATTACATAGCCCAATCTTGTTATAAGCATATCTTTAGGACCAAAATATGATCGGTACTCTGTACATGCATACATTTCACGTTCTTGTCTCTGTCACCTTTTTCTTCCTTCGAACCTTTGCCTTCGCCTTCATTGAAATCTTAATCAGCTGGAACGATGACTTCAAATATTGGCGTTCCGACTAAACTTCTTCACGAGGCCCTTGGTCATGTCATTACCGTTGAACTCAAGACTGGACAAGTTTACCGTGGAAAGCTTCACGATGGTCGGCATCCACTTTATCTGAGATATTTTATTCGCCTTGACTCTTTTAGGCTGATATGTTTCTCTCATGTTCTCAACATCTTCAACAGCCGAAGATAATCTCAATATCTCACTCAAGGATATCACTGTTACTCATCGAGATGGTCGTGTAACACAGCTCGATCAAGTTTATATTCGAGGACCCATGATTCGTCTCTACGTTATTCCTGACATGCTTCAAAATGCTCCAATGTATATCCTTTGCTATATTCTAGTAGTCTTTATACTCCAGATTTCCGAAAATTATCATCACACTGAGACCTTTTACGTACGATCAACTTTTAACTGGGATCTTTTAGGTTCAAACGAGGTACCGGAGTCAAAGGACGCGGTATCGGAACAGCACGTGGTCGTGCTACTATCCAACGAGCACAGGGTTTGTGTTTCAAGTCTCCTAGTATCCATTTTGCTACGCTTGTTGATTCACGTGCTCTGTCCATCATCTAGCACGGAGAGGTAGAGGTGGACCCGCTGGGGGTGGCAGGGGTGGAGGCGGCGGTGGAGGCGGCGGCGGTGGTGGAATGCGTAGACAATGAGCACTCTAAACGTCACTACCGTGTGATCGGACCATGTCCTGGAGACCAACCTGGCTTCCTGAGTGAACCTGAACCGAGGCTACGCAGAAAGCTGTCACAACTCACCATTTGATCAATTACCGCACACTTGCAACACCCAAGATTCGATGTTTTGCGCCGATGAAGAAAAAAGGGTTTCGCCCTCAATTGCCATACGGACCTGTGGAGACATTTTCAGATCGTTATGGTGTTGTTTGTTTGTCCCGTTTGCGCGCCAGCTCTGTCTCCATACCCTGATCGCAAGAGTAGGCCGCGTGTCCGTCCGTCACACAAAGTACATAATGAAATGTGTTATATTCTTAAAAGGTTCAGATATATCAGAAACAAGAGTCGTACACTGATATACGTTCCGATGGTTGCTATTATAAGTCTCAGCCATTGTATGCTCGTCCCAGTGCCCATGTAACTTGTTGAGACAAGTATCATGAGTTTGGTGGAAACCATCCAACAGAGTCATTGATCGCCGCTCTATCGCCATCTCTCCAATTGATAGGGAACGTGTTGTCACGACGTCACCGCTCCGCTCTAATTGCAAACTTGGTCGATCCGCCACCGAGGTTCAACAAGTACTGAAGTCTTCTTGTGACTGCAATATGTATTGGTCTTTCCTAAGAATGTGGAATCTTCTGCCTGGACACACAGGTTGATACGTGATGCGGAATGGGGCGTGTGATTGCACCGAGCGATCTGGGTAGCATCAAGCTTAAAGAATACTTCTTTCGAAGGACGAAGGTGCTTTCGCCTCTATCATTTGGTTCCGTCTGATGTCGTGACCTTCATCATCGAGACTTTGGCTCTATCACCACCCGGCCTCGCCGAGCTTGACAAATCCCACCGGCGCGCTTGCTGCTGCTACAAATTGCCTGCTAAGGAAAGAACACCGCGTGTACGAAGATGACATTGGCAGTAATAGATATCTTCGTGGACCGGGACAGGTCGAAGACCAAGATCCAATATCTATCGGGATAGCCAAGTTTTCTGGAGTATATAAAGGATATTGGCATAGGTACAACGATGTTGTGAAGAAAAATTGGGATACAGATTTGGGTTTCTCGAATGAAATATAATGAAAGAAGCAAAGACTACTGCGCGTTCGCTGGCAAAGCCCAATTGCCTTTGAGAAAGATCTGCGCCAAATATTCAATAGGGGCGGCGCGCCCCCCTGCGGATTAAGTTGACAGCCTCAGGCGGTGTAAAACTGATTGTCGATGAGGCAAGTGCAATATAGTTGAGCTTATCCAGTAGTCATCGAACGCCAACTGGGAACGTTTACGATGTGGATAGACTTTGTCATCGAAAGAAGTTGTACTACATAATACAAAGATATACTCTGATATGAGTCCATGTCATGACTACGACATGTTCGATTTCCCTTTGCTCGCTGAGATCGAAAGACATGAAAATCGTATGGCACAGTAGAATCTAGCTTGGAACATCGGCGTCAGTTGCCGTCACTGTTCAGTCCCGGTGAAGGGAGAGCAGATCTGTTTCGTCTTGAAATGTCGCAAAAGTTGTCCAGGTTCAGAATCCAGATTACGATCTCCTTGGTGCTACGACTGCTACGATCCTGAATTTCTGTCTGTCTCAAATACCCCGCTGTGCGCATACATAGTGGTCCGATCCACATCAGTTGTTCTATTTTTTGGTCATCTTTGCTTGGTTGTCAAACTCACACCCGAACAGACAAGGTTTCTCCCACTATCTTCATCATCCAGATCAGATTCAAATGAGATTTCTTCTTGGTTAAGTCAATCGGTCAATCAATCAAGCTTCATCAACAGAGACTTCACTTCTTGTTATCTTAATCTTTGATTGTTTGAAACAAACGCCGAGATAATTAAAGCCTCATGTCATCTTCTTGTCATTCTTCAACTTATCAGAAACACGAGGAAGCTGAATTGTACAAATTACGGAGTGTTCAGCCTGAAGTATCGCTTCCCTCAAATTCCTTTCCAGCATCACCCCGTCCGAATAACTTTCAAGAGTTCAATCGTAGTGAATCAACTGGTAAGCCTGGTCTTGAAAGTTTTGATCGAGCCCCGCACCGACTGCATGAAGTCGTGAACCAATCGAATCCTGAGACCAAACCAAATCGACGCACCCTCGCTCAACCAAGCAAGACGGTGAGGAAACCTTCACAAAGGCCAGCATTATCGTACGTTAAAAACTCTCTGCTAAACAAATCCAAGAAAAGAATCTCATCTCAACTTTTTCCGGATTCTGTTCTGGAAACCCGTTCTGGCTTTGCAGATGTACGGAATGTGCAAGGCAAGTATTTCTCACTTTTGCGAATCTGGTACTGCTGGTCTTGGCTGCATATCTTCCAAACGTACCTCTTACTTATAAAAAATTTCCTTCGACACTCATCGTAGGAGGAAGATTAAAGTGAGTCAATGTGATCCTTTCTCATTCAGTGGTAATGTAAGGTCATCGGATCCCAGCGGCTAAGTTTGAGCGGTCACTCAATCAATCCTTTTGTTTAGTGTGACAAGACCGTACCTTGCACCCCATGCTCTAAGCGAGGCCGTCAAAGCATTTGTCGCCAAGAGCTTTGGATTCCCTCTTCGAGCGCACATGCCGGAGAGCATACTCAAGCGTCTGACTAGTGAGTAAATGGCCACCTTGGAGAGCATTTTGGTCTATCCCTCATTTTCATCACAAGCAAAAACGCGAGAAAGAGATCTTTGCTCGCGATATAACCGACTGAGAAAATCTTGACGAATGAAATGTAGTGATCGTGTTCTCAATACGTTGAACGACTTGAAGTTCGAGGTAAACTACTTACGAGAACAAGTGCAAGACTTGGATAATGTTCGTGACCGATTGCGAGAATTGGAAGAGATCATATGTCATGTCCACTGCGATCGTCAACGGTTAGACAAAGATGGCGATGTGAGGTTTCTTTCGCCGCCCCTTGGAATATCGGACGCCCTATCCGCTTCCCCTACCGCTGGATCTCAATTCAACGGTGCAAATCATACGGCCTCACCCACGACCTCTACCATCAGCGAAAGAAGGCGAAATGGTATGGTAGATAAGCACGACACGTCTGAAGACGCTGCGACCACTTTTGAATATCTGGCTTTAGGCGGAAACCGCCAAGGGTCTGAAGCAGGCGATCCGATGCACGGGTCAAAGTCAACATCCTTTACATCCGTCAGGAGTTCCTCTGCCAACTTGAGTGCAGCGTTAACCACTGAGAATCGTCACAAAGATTCTTTGCTTAGTCCTCTTCCACCCAATACACTGGCAAAGCTGAAATCATCAGGAGATAGTCTGACTAAAAGCCAATCTGATGTGATCATAGATTTTGCCCTTGATACGCTGGGCTGGCAACATCCAGTGATTCATTTCACGACTTTCAGAGGCCAAGTCAGCACCTATTGGAGGAATATTCAAGAAAGCAACAAAGCTTCTCGAAATGAAAGAAAAGATATCGTCTTGATTGTCAATCAAGCATGGTTCTCCCTCTACATAGCTTTACTCAGTGTTGGGACACATCATATGAGTCCAAGATTTGCAGAAAAATGCAATCTTACCGAAGGTGAGTGCTCTTCCACAAAAATATAGTGTAATATACCAATTCATGATTCTAATGACAACTTTTGCCCTCTGAATCAATCCTCAGAGGATTTAAAGACGATGCCAAGACTATGGTTCTCAGATTGTATAGCTGCTTTATATAGATTCAACTTCCTCGCAAACCCTTCAATAGAAGCACTTCAGACCATCACAGTTCTGGGTTGTTCAGGTTATGAAATCGCTCCACCAAATGTCCTATGCGCCTTGCACGCCTGCGCGAATAGTCTTGCACAAACTTTGGCGATCCATTGTATCTCACCCGACCCACCTACTCTGAAATATGATGATCAAGGACAAGAAATCGAACCCAGTGAATCTAATCCGAAATGGTCTGCTATTGAACTCATGGAACGCGAGATTGCAAAGAGAGTTTGGTGGGCTTTGGTTACTGCAGATTGGTTAGCGGTACCACATCATAAATCTTGGTGTTAGTATTTTTCTCGTCTCAGCAATCTTCAATGTCATCTTCAAGTCTTTATATGATCAAATCAACAATTCCAAGCTTATCGTCCTTGTATGTACGTCTCTATGACAAATTTGAACAGGTATCTCTCCTGGTCACTTTACTACCCCGATCCCTCGTAATTGGCCTGACAAAGATTTTCCCGAAATGAACTTTTCTGGACCACCCATGCAAAACAATCACATATCAATGGTTATGCAGCAGGCAAGTTTAGGATAGTGAATAAAATTTTACAAGAATATCGATCTTAACATGCGATTCTTTTTTAAAATTAGATCATACTAAGTCAAGTGGCAGAAGTCATCCAAAGTTTTTTCTCCAGACTGATGTCAAAACCCAATGAGCTGTAAGTCAATCTATTCTTTCGAGAGGATTACAATTCGCCTTTTCTAAAACTTTCGACCCTCGTGGTAGTCACGAAGACACAGTTTTCCAAGCAGATTCGGACATCCAACGTATCGTATCCGAACTACCACCGATTCTGAAAGAGATTCCAGATAACATTTCACCCGAAGAAAAAGCTAAACTTCCGCCTTATGTGAATCGTCTTCGACACTTTTTGAAAATATCATGTGCTCATAAGCGATTAGTTATTCACCGAGCCTTTTTAAATCATATCACCTCCCTCACCATCTGCAAGTCAAAATCTGGTCAGGTAACATTAGGCAAGATCTCTAAGGGTAATGCTTCTTTATCCTCAGATCCCCAAAATCGACCTACCGATCCAAAACTCTCGTTTGGAAGATTTCCGGGACCTGCGTCGAATTTAAACCGAAAGAGCGCAATTGAATCTAAAGCGATATGTATAAAACTTTCTCGTGAAATCACACGAGAGATAGTTGAATGTACATCGCAGTTCGAAGAAAGGCCAACTTGGAACACACCTTATATCGCCGTTGGAGCCATGACTCTATTATCTCTGGATCTATTGGAATTATCAATGCATTCCAGCTCTTCAAAATTGAGAAACAAAAGAACCGCCGAGTATGAAATCGATGTTTCTACGACCAAGACGATCAATAGAGCTAAGAAACACTTGAAGAGATGCCCTAATCAAAGTGGCATGCGTGGTTTCGAGGGAAGTAGTGAAGTTAATCCAGCGGTGACCGATCAAGAAGATAATGGTACTTGGACAGAGATGTCTACCACACTAGAAACACTGACGGATGAAGAGATTCAATCAATGAAAGAAGTCAGAAGAAGAGAGTTGGAACAAGGATTAGAGGTTTTGGAAAGATTGTCCCGATGGAGTCCCATTGCTGAAAGAGGTGTAATTCTAGTTCGAAACTTACTTGGTCAAAAAGATCCACTAAACACTGTAATAGATCCTGACAAAACTCCCAGTCATCAACGCACTTGCTATCGACCAGGTATCTTTGCCACAACAGCAAAATCCTTGACCGCTCCTATAACCAAAATAGTGGCGAGGCAAGACTTGAAGATTCCTGGGCAAATCGATCTATTCCCACCACAAGCCAAGCAATGTATTGATTCGAGATTGGTAGACACAAATGAAGGGTGAGTCACGGTCTTCTTCTACGCCCTATGTTACCTCAACCTTTCCATCTAGTGATCAGATAGCTAATCACCAAACTCCATTCTAACATTTAGGAATAGAAGGGTTTCTCCTAATACCTTATCGCCATTAGCTCACGTTCCTCCAATCTTGCCTCCAAACGTCAATTCTGGAGAATCATACCATTTTAATCAAGTCCAACCATCGGAGGTATTTCAATCAACAAACGCCCAACAATATCATCTAGGGACATCATATCCACAAGTCCCTACTCAAGATCTCAGAGCAATCACTCACTCACATGCTTCTAACGCGACCTTTCATATATCAACAAATGATGAACAAAGCAGATCAAATGTTCATTCAAACTTTACTAGTCCCCAACCGTTACCGCAATCCTTCAAATTTACTCATCAAAATCCACATATACCGGAATCTGATTTCGTACAAACTTCAACATCCAATTTAAAACCAGATTATATTTCACCAATTCCTACTAATTCTACCAATTTAAATCAAATCAGGAATCAATCTCCATTACAATTCATAAATAAAACCACAACTGATCAAAGAAATCATCATCAACAGCAACATCCAATTGATTTATCAAATCATCAAGCTTCATACCTAACTTCGACAACTGATTCCAATACAAATTCCTCATCGACTAATCTTTTACAAACATGTTCGATTTCAAGATCAGATGAAAGTCATCCAGGACCAAATGAAAATGGATTTCAAACTTTACATCAAGATCAAACTAGAAGGGTTTGGCAAAATAATGATGAGATTGGAGTTCCTTATGATTATATTGAATCACTTTTGAATTCATCTTTTGGACATTATGCTGCTCCTATTGATTTTGATGGGATCTTTTTTCCTAGTTGAATCTTCTTTTGTCTTTCTTTTTTTTCTGGGGTTTAATCTTTTGTGGCTGATCTCTTGGTATTTTTCTCTGTTTTGTTTTTGGGTGGGTTGATTTTTTTATTATTTTTTATGATCCCGTCTTCCTTATCTTTGATCATTTTTTGCTTTCAATACATAGTATTATACAATCTTCACTTCACTTCACTTTTGTCTTCTTTTGTCATACATTGCTCTCAATTCAATCAATTAGAAACAAAATCATAAAAGTTAAATAGTTTATGTGTATATCTTTCTCTTGATTTCTTTTTCTTTGGTTTTTCTTGATTATCTTTTCTTTTTTGTGATTATTGAAAATATCCATCTTAAGGCTTCATAAACCAAGCAGTTTATGTGAATCTTGTGGAATTCTAAATACACCTTTTTTTTTGATAAATCTCAGAAAGAAAAAAAACATATTCATATATAAACACCGAGTCTCGAGATGCATGTGCTTTTTTTCACCTTGATTCACATCTGACATCTGTTTACATGTCACAGCTGTGCTACATCTCATATTATCGAGTATGGAGTTTTCTTTGAAGACACCAGCTCCGAGTTCCACAAGAGTAAATGCGGAACGGAGCTTTTGTGTGCTCGAGCATCCGGCTCCATATTCTGAACGGGACTGCGCCGCGGTTGTGCCATGTAGGCGTGAGACTACAACCCTGCTGACACCATCGGCTGACGAATGCGAAAGTGAAGTGATTGAAATGACAAGTGTGAATTATCGAAGGATAGTGAACGGGTTTTTACGTATGTGTGAATGAAGGAAGCGATTCGATGCTTTCAATAGTAATAAGGTTTTGTTTGAACAAGGGCATCAAAATACAAATGTGTACAAACAAAGAGAAGTTGAAAAAAGTGGAATGTGAATGAATTTGAATTTCGGTCTCTTTACAAAAAGAAACCAATTCGCTGAATCATTGGGCCTTTATCTTCTTTACCAATCATCGTATGGCATCTCTTGGAATCATGTACTTAAATCAACACCAAGAACCCTTTCAAAGGTACCGAAATCGATGGAGTCTTTGTTTTTCAGCGTGGGACTTTGTTGAGTTTAACATTTTGAACTTCCAAACTGGTTTTATGAGTTGAATTCATTTTCTCTCTGGAGTCTGCATGGTCCATTGAATAGAAACTCCGTTGTACACTTTCTCTTGACATCTTTTCTTTTAGACGTTCATCATTAGCTTCCTTCGAGTGAGAATGTAAGATATCCTTCTATTTCTGCTTTCTTTCTTGATTTGTTCAAAGTATTCTCGACTTTCACTCAGACTTTAGATAGCTTTAGATCTGTTGATTTGATACATACATACTACAATTTGTTCATCAGATTCTTTTTATTACCTTTTTTTTGACTTACATTGTTGTAATTAACCAAAAGTGATCATCGTTCCTTGTCGTCTTCGTCCTTGTCGTTTTTTTTTTTCCTTTTGATTTTCTCTTGATTATTTTTTTGAACACCAAATCATCCTCTTCAAGCAGAATGATTTCGACTACTTCAAGTTCAACTTCAAATCCTTCACGTAAATCTAAGATTTCGCTAAATCAATTTCAACTTTTACACCTTCCATTATCGATCAAATCGAAATTACAACAACAAAAATCAAAATCCAATTTACTTTCAAATCAGATTCAAGAGTACGAAGACCTGAGAGGTAGTCAAGATGAATTGGTTTGTTTTGATTGATTTAAAGATTCCTGATTGAAGGACTATATGCTGATTTTCTTGATTTTTTGTTATTTTTTGATGGTCATCAATCAATCGATCGATCGTTTTGATTTCCGATTGACCACTATTCTACTTAATCTGATCACACTTCTGTTGGATTTGAAAATCTCAATCTCACTTTACTGAAACTCAACCAAATCGAATTTGAAATCTGATCATCCTCAACCACCATCTTTTTTTGGGGATGATGGTTTTCTCCTTTCTTCTTGTTTCGAATTTTAACTGTTTTTTTAAAAATATCTTCTTACTTACGGCCTGAACCGATGAAATGATGGACTGAATGTATCATGAATGGAATCTGGAATCCTTTTTCTTTACAATTTGATGACTTCTTTTTACCTTTTAATCGATTTAACCATTTTTGATTTGGATGAATCCGTTCATTTCTTCCTTGATTGAATGAAATCTATATGATGATGATGCTGATGATGATATCGGAATTCATTTTACAAACTGATCAATCAACATTTTACCGAAAATGAAAATTAAAATTAAAAAATAGTCAATTGAACAATCCAGCTCAACCACCACTACTAGTACTCAAGCTCAACTTACTAATATCAAGAACAATAACAACAATAACCATCACAACTACCATCATCAACCAGTTGATCAACCCTCTTCTCTATCATCTTCAAACTCTTCTTCATTCACTTCATTCACTACTGCTGCTTCATCACCTTCTCAAGATTTATCTTCTACTTCTACTCCACCTCCCTTAATCCATACATCTTCATCATCTTCATCTGTAACTGAATCTCAAGATCAAACTCAACAAGAACATCATTCGAATCACACTCTTTATAAGGATCGATTTAGTAAATCTTCTTGTTCATTACCATTCACTTCTTTCACCTATTATCACCGTCAAGAACGTCCAACTCAATCATCACAGCATAAGAGAAGGTCCATTCACGCTCTCACTTCACCTCCTACTCATATTGAACACGAAGAAATCCAAGCACCTATCAATAAGAAACTCAAATCATCTGGTTTAGGTGCTAAATTGCATCTCATCACTCAGCGTCACTTTTTAGCATACAAGACTTCAAACTCTAATCTCTCAACTCATTCTCAATCCAATTCTAAATCAACTCTATCATCCTCTGGTAAATCTTTGCTTGACAGGGTTCCTAAATCTGAAAAACACAATTGGATTTCTATGGGGATCGGTAAAAACCTTGCTCATCGATGGCATCATCAGTCACCTTCGACCGCTCCTCCTCAAACTCCTACCTCTTCAGCTCCTCAATCTTCTCAATCTCTCTTTGGATCACCTCGTCAACCTCCAAGTCAATCTATTCATGCTCCTCCTCCGCTAGAACGCCAAGCTAAATCTATTGATGGCTTGAGTAATCCAGTCTTACCTCCGTCTATCAAATTACCTGCTAATATCCTAGGTATCAAAGTTCCTAATCGAAGAGGTCTCACCTTTGGTCAACCACTCATTTCCTGTCTTGAAGCCAATCCAGTCCTTCGTCATCCATCAGTAAGTATTCTTTTATTGCTTTCATTTCAACCTCGATACTTGCTTACACGTTAAAATAGTCATCTAGCTCAAAATCGCACACTCCACCGGCTGCCCTGAATGAGAGTGATCGATGGATGCCAGCAATTGCAGTTCGATGTCTTGATTATCTCAATCAAAGCGGTCCGAAGGAAGAAGGGATTTATCGCATTCCTGGTAGATCTACTGATGTAGAGAAACTTCGGGTACTTTTTGACGCTGGTGCGTACATGAGATTTAAGATTTCTTCAAACCATATCACCACTCTTTATATATAATTCACCGAGATCCTCGACTAATCTCCGATTGGCCCACTGTTCTGTCATCTGATGTCGTCATTTGTTTGACAGGTTGTGACGTTGATCTTAGTAAACATACCATTGGTGCTTTGGATCCTCATGCAGTGGCTTCCACATTCAAACTGTGGCTCAGAGAATGTGAGCATGATTCTTTCAACTATCGATATATCATCTCAAACCACGAAAGTCTAAATATCCTAATCATGCTTCACATACTTCCTAATCCTCTGCATTTGACGGTTATCAAGTGCCCGATTCGCTTCTGACGCGTGAATTGGAAGCTGAGACTACTCAAATCGTCAAAAGATACATTCAATCTGGTCACCCATCGACTGAATCTTCGGGACAAAGCAGTAATCATGACACCTCAGCTGAAGCTGCCCAGGTCCCTATTACGGAATGCGTCAACGACTTGAGTTCGATTTTCAAAAGACTGCCTGCTCCAAATTGGTATCTCCTTCGCGCCATTGGTGAGTGAATATGACTGTGCTGAGGTCCCAAGAATGTCCAATAAATACGCAATATTATTTCTGTGCACTGCTTACGCTCTGTTTGACCCTCGCGTTCCTACACAGCCAATCATCTCTCGATCCTTTCCCAATCCTCTTCCACTAATCGAATGACGTTGGATAATCTGAGATTGATCCTATCACCTACCCTCAAATTCACACCTGTCTTCCTTCAAGTGCTTGTCGAGCATCGAGAATCGCTGTTCAAAGATGCATGTCCGGTTCCTAGCAGTGTTCGTGGCCCAGAAAGGTTACCTCACGTCCCAACCTCGAGAGCAGCAAGTTCTCCTCAACTCAGTACAATACGATCCCCTGGCGCTAGCATTCTCCCTGGATCGTCCGCCAGTGTACCCAGACAGCTACCCTCACCCGCTTCCACTGCTCAGCAATTCCTAGCCAGTCGATCCCCACCCATCCACAATGGACCTCAGGATTATTTTGCATTTCCACGTCGGCCTAAAACGTCTGCCGCACGCTTGAACCAACCTGTTCAGCTTTTGATCTCCAATGGTCAAATTCCAACAGAGTCAAGATCATCGAGTCCGACTGTCTCTCAATTTCTTGGTGTTCGTTCCCCATTACAAGGCCTTCAGGAGTATTTTGGAACCAACGAGCGTAAATCGAAGATGTCTACGACTGCAAAACCAGATCGGATGGCTCCTCCAAGGGTTGCACAAGATCTGATCAGCGGAACCCACGATAGTGTTGTCCAACAGGAACCGATGCGAGGTCAAACTCATTCTCAGACTAGCGCTCCCATCGCGTTATCTTGCCTACCCACCATCACACCTTCTGCATCAGCCTTACAAGACTCGATGAGCCAGTTCATGGTTCAATCACCACCCACTACCCCCCTTACCACTGCCATGTCTTTTCCAACGCCTTATTCACCTTCAATCTCTTCTCGCGCAGGTGATTCCACCCATTCTCATACATCCCCACATCATCCATCATTTTCCTCGAAAGCAAACCTTTACAGTTCTAACTTCAATACTACTACCTCATTTGAAATCGATCACGAACCATGCGGACCCACTCAACATCGATCCTACAAAGCAGGTCCCTCTCTGTCTCCGGATCAACACCAACGCGATCTGAGATCGAGTCGAACGCCTATCGCAGATCTTTATCGACAACGTTCATCTGAATTACTCAATTCATCTCTTTCTAACTCCTCACTCAAGTCTTCGTATGTTTCCAGTGCTTCTCCCACCATACCCAGGCCCTCTACTGGTACAACAGGATCGTGTTTCTTTCAAGGTGGAGCAGGAGGGATGAAGAAATCATTTCATCACAATCGTAAACCAAGTGGGGCGAGTAGTCTTGCAAGTCATATTGAAGAATATGAGGAAGAAGAAGAAGAAGTGACTATCAGAAAGGAACCTACATTTCCATCAAACAGTCCTAGAAAAGTAGTAGATTTAGAAAAAAAGAAAATCAATCGACAATCTACTATGTCTGTTTTAGGTAATGTACAATGGAATTATGGTGCTAATAGTCTTGTTAGTGGTACTAGTCAACATCAAACTAATAATAAAAGGAAAAGTGTCAGTGATGAGATTTGAAACAGGGAAATTCATGGGGGAATCTGTGGAGATTTGTTTTTTGTTTTTCTGTTTTTGTTGATTAGTTGTTTATTAGTTGTTTTTTCCTTTTTTTTTTTCTTCGGCAAAGCATCTATCATCTTTTTTTTTTCTTTTTTTTCTTTTTCTCTTCTTATTTTTTTCTCACATATGCATAGCATTTTTAATTTTTTCTCTTCCTGGAGTAGAAGCAGGAGTTAAAAAAAAGTTGGAACCGTTGTTTTTTAGAGTCATTTAAAAAGACTGGATCCTGATTTTTAATTTTTTTTTTCCTATCATCATCATCTTTAAGATCATCTTGAGTTTTTGTTTGACTTTTTTTTTCAAGGAGGAAAGATGATCAAAGGATCATCATAATTTGGTTTATATGTATATACATATATTCTCTTCATGTGGAAATGTGTTTATTGTGATTTTTTTTTGTGATTTTGTATGGATTTTTATGGATTTTTATGGATTTTTTTTTGTTTGAGTGTGAATAGAGAATAGTGAAGATGTGAAGATGTGCAGATGTGAAGAGATTGTGATCGTTTCTGAGTAAACAATTTGTTTGAGAAAGTTTGATGAATGAAGAAGACAAGGTCAATATTTTTTTGGTAGGGGAAAACAACAGACACCTTGCAGTTGTTAAGGATGGTTAATAAATGGTTTTTGTTTTAACTTGACTCAGTTGCCTTGATGCACAGGAGAAAATGAACAACTAACCAAAGTGAAAATATACTGTTTTTGTTGGTGTATGTTTACTGGGAGCTATTTGGGGGCCTCTATATGCCCATTTGCTTATCCTGAACTCAACCCATTCAAAAATCTGAATTGGAAAAATCATTTTTACTCATCTAGTTGTACAGGAGTTTGTCAAGATGTATGATTTGTTGACATCAAGGTGTAGTCCTGAGATCAAACATCAAGAGTGTAATTCTTGAAAAGAAAGATGGATTGGCTAGGTTTGAACTTCTTATGTGTGAAGGCTCCTGGTTCTCACAGCACTGGCAGACTTGGCTTTTTAACCTTCAAAAAGTTGAGATTTGAACTTGTTGATGAACTTGAGTACTAGATTAAATAACACAATTGAAGAGGGCAAAAAGGTGTGAAAAAAGTATTGTTACAATGTTGATCAATCATCAGAGTGCTTGGTGGGGTTCTTTGGACAGAAGGCAGAGAAGATGGAACCTGAGGAGATTCCTTGCCAAACTTCATTTGGTATCAAGTCAAATTTTTCTCCGACAGAGGTGGTCAGCAGGGATTTTGTTACACTGGCTCAGAATCAGGTTATGAGTGTGACATAAAGCACAAACAAGAGCTCTCTATGCTCAAATGAACCTTTTCTAGAAAGCAGGCTGCAAACTATAATGAGTCTGTGGTATTAGACTGTCACTGTAGCTCGAGTCACTGCGTTTGTATAGGTTTGTATGTAAAAAAAACCCCTGGGACATCGATGACCTTTTTTCAACCTTTGATACAAACGTTCTCTTCCTCGTATTTTACCCACACTCATTCTCGTATCTTATCCAAACTCATCCTTGTCGCACGATCATTGAAGATTCAAAAGGGAACTCAGCGTGATGAACGCCAAATCACTGTACCCACAACCTGGGATCGCAACCGAGGCTTACAGCCCAGATTTCATATGCAGACTTCATGATGTCGCAAAACGTATCACCCAGCTAAAAAAGACTGGCGACAATTTCAGTGTATGGGAACGAGAGCTAAAGGTTATGATACGAAACATTTCGGGGTCTACTGACTACCTTCAACAAGAGTTTCACAAGTACGATCCAAAGTTAAACCAAGGAATCTTCAACTTGATATTCTGGTCCATTGACCAAGAACTCCAAGAGGATCTAAATCTTGATGGGTCGATTTCAATCAAATCAATCAAATCAATGCATCATGGCTCGTGCTGATTTTCCTGAAGAAATTTTGGACAACATTGTGAACATGGTTCACTACCAGCCTTGTCATCACGAGAATTACTGTATCAAGACAAGAAAAGAGGGCTTAGTAGTACAGAACTCACTCAAAGGTGTGCCATATGAAGTATACCTGAATCACTCTGGTCCACCGATTCTCAATACCTTCCAAAACCTCGCCGTGGTCAATCGAAGGTTTCACAGGCTTTGTTGTCCTAAGTTATGGCAGGTATGTTTTTTACATGAATCCCAGTCTTGATCCCCATATATACCTGCAGAGTCTAATGTGCTTTCTTGATTTCATCCAATGAATCTCTCAGCACATTCAATTCCCGAGCACCCTTCCTGCTCCTATTACACTTTGGACAAACAACATACTCTTGAGGCATGGACACTTAGTAAAATCTCTGGAAGTTCAACTGGAAGACGACCAGTTGGTTGGCGATATCCATAAAATCCTTAGTAAAAGGAGTTCTTACGATAATACAGGTGTTATACCCAAACTACAACATGGCGTGGGGTCATACAGACCAAAATACGGAATCGGACTGTATAACATTGAGAAGTTATTCAAAGCGTGTCCTTCTCTAGTGTCGATATCCGTGATTGTCCCGGAGTCTTCGCACGTCCATGAAGAATGGATTTCTCATATTACAGCGAGCTTGCACGTGCCATTCTGGAGAGTCCCTCAACTCCAAGACTTAAGACTGACGCACTGTCCAAATGATAGTATTACAAGTGAATATGTGGTCAACATCCTCCAACGATTACCATCTCTTGTATCCTTGGAACTCTGTGGCTTTGAATTCAGGCAAAGACCAGCCATGGAGGAATCCTTCGAATGGAGCCTGGGCCAGCAAAAGAACCTTCGCAAATTGCGTATGGAACATCTCACTTACGTGGATGGAACTTGGACCTTGTTCAGCTCTTGGCCTCCGCAACTTGAGAATCTCCAAGTCATTGGTTGTGACAGATTGTCACCTCGCGTATTGCACGGACTACTCAGCGGTTCGGCCCCATCTCTTACTAAGCTTCGTCTTATACTACATCATTTCAAAGATGAACCACATGTGACAGTTCGATTCAATCTCCCGGCTCTCAAAGAGCTCTCCATACTCCATCGTGGAGACCTGGATCTACTAATGAGCTTTGAAAACTGTAAAAGTGTAGAAGCCTTTCATTATCAGTGTCATGCAGATGATGAAGAATGGCACTCAATGAAGCAGTACTTGTCTAGATGTACCTGGCCTAAGCTCTCGGTTCTGGATTTTCGTTCATCAATATTTACTGCGAATTGGAAAAAGCCAGCCAAGATGGACGTGAACGAAATTTGGAATTCTTTCAAAATCAAACTCTTGATCGATAACGAAACCGATGATGAGATTGATGACGAGGCCGTTTGATCCTATTTGACAACTTTGACAAAGAGCGATGCGCTGTGGTTCAAATAACAACACCTAAAATGTTCATACAAAAAATATTCGTTTGGAGATCTGCTCATTTTTAAATGATGGTACTTGATTAACCTGATGTTGAAAATGGTTACGTGCTCAAAGAAGATGATTGGTTTTACCTAAAATCATCTACAACTTCCATGAGCAAAACAGATTCCCCCAACTTTCCTGAGGGATTTGTGCTCAACAAATCTGATATCTCGACATACATAATTTACATGGAACGAGTTGATCAATTCCTTGACAGGTCATCCAGAACTTGTTTATTGACTGGACTATAGCTTCTCAGCTGCTTTGACTATCTTGAGTTTTCAAAAACATTGATCAGATCAGATCATCACCAATCTCAACTTCTCATAGAAAGTTGGACACATTCACATCATATCCCCATACCACTCACCGCCAACATTTTCACTTCACAGGTGTATATGCCAGTACATGGCTTAGATACCAGCGAGGGAAAATCACACTTTGCCAATGCGATATGATGAATGTGCGACTTCATAGAGCATGTTGACGAAGCAATTGAATTTGTCTTGCAATTTCAAGTCGCAAGACTGAAAGTGACAAGAATGAGTTGTGATGGTACAGCCCTTTGCAGAATTGATGACTTTGGAAAAAGAAAAAACACTTGAGTTTTCAAAAAAAACCTGCGAGTTTTTTTCAAAAACTCATCGAGTTTTTCAAAAACTGAGCGAGCTCTTGTTCGTGAGTGTTATATCGATCAATTGAACCAAGTTCTTGCCCAGTTTTTGAAAAAACTCGGTCACTTTTTGACAAAACTCGAGGTTTCTTTTTTGAAAACTCAAGGTTTTTTTTTCTCCAAAGTCATCAATTCTGCAAAGGGCTGTACATCGCAAGGCAAGTTCAGTGATTCAAGCGCAATGCGCCTAAACATCACTCATGTGACCACACGATAAAAATCCCTGAGCAATACAATACTTTGAAACACATCAAAATTGAGTGATACAAAGATTTGTTCGTTTTGATGACATGCGATACATTCCTTTGACTCGCATTCATTATGAGCGATACAAATATAGATGCTTCTTCTTCAATTCTTCAATCTCGACCTCTACATGATCCCACTTACATCAATATAACTGATCATAACTAGAGCTTTGGGGGCGGCCCGCCGCCCTTTCGGCCCTCTCAACGTCCCGCTGTGCATCAACTGCTCAATGACGATTCGTAGTTTCGCGATCCAACGCATACATAGTCAAGATACCCGTTCAGTCAATTTCAAGCACCAAATGACCAATTACATTATATTGCACATTGATTTCTGCCTAAATGTTGACACTTTAATGCTTATCCATCGTCATACAAAGTCCAGCACCGTATCCAAGTAGACAACTGCATGAGACATTACTTTTGCAGATCAACGTATCATCCCCCGGCTAGGCCCACAGAGTACCCACATGACGTGCGGCGCGCCTCGCGATTGATACTCAATGGTCTTAAAGTACAACTTCCCTCCTATAACCATCGTTTTGCGGCTGCGCCCGAGATCATTGTTGACGGGCGAGCTCCGTACTCCCACTCTCCCACCTCTCCCATTGACTATGTTTGACGTCAAGGACATATGACTGACCCAACGACAGCATGAGTATCATTGTATGATGCGCTGCTCATTCACATTGAAATATGTAAAACTTACAATGATGATTCCAATTCTCGATTGCTAAAAAATCTCCTACTTTTGCGCCGGATCTGCCTCTTTGACGTCTACGATATCTCGATGTTGTAATACTGCCACACGTTAGCCCTATCCACCAAAGTCTTGCCTCGCTAAAGTTTCCACTTACCCAGGTGTCAATTGACGCTCCGCTATCGTTGACAGTGTTGATTCAAAGTTAGAAGTCTTTTTGATCAGCAGAAAGTGTCTGCCTTTCGAATTGCTGTACCGTTGTCATCGGGAGCCGACGTCATCTCCGTGTCTCTTGGCTAACTTTGAAGCCCGATTAGCGGTTCTGCACGCTACGGCCACCTCACTTTCGTAGTGCGCTGACGGCGGCATTCTGAATAGCGGTCATCTCAAGGGCTGCCATGTGCACAACTCACAGCCGCAGCACACATCATCACACACTCTTCACTTTACAGCCTCTCCCTCAGTGTTTTCACGGATCTCAGCGTCGTTCATTTGCTACACTCGGTCTTGCAAACTACTCATTTCATTGCACGTATAATCACTATCACTATCGCAGCCATGCCATCTGGCTCCCTTGCCACCGTCATCATGCTATACCTGCTCCTCATACAACACCGCTCCGAACTAACGAAACATTGGTAACCTGCGTCGGATGTTAGCTTACCATCCAAGTAGGAGCGATTCCTCACTCACCATGATGATCCAGCCTCCGTGCCAATCCGACCAACTGTTTCCCTGTCCGGTCAACTGCACCACATTGTCCTTAGCAATGAGCGCCGCTTTGTCCTTGCCCAACGCCTGTAGATCGTATACGTATTCCGCTGTGAAATCCACCCATGTCAACACCTGCACTCGTCCGTCAGCAAACTCGTAAACATTCAATACAACTGTTTGACGCATACCGTCATATCCCATTGGCGGTGCTGAAGACGTGCTACGCTGAAACCCTCTTCCCCACTCGTCGCTTTTACTTCTTTGGTCAAAATCACCGTTCTTTTGCCAATAAAGGTGATCGCCCCAATACGGTCAACGGGTTCAAGACGCTCTTCGTTGATCGCAACCACTGAGTCGCGGCACAGAAACAACCTCTGCTGCGCTGTGAAATTGTCCATGACAATCTCGCCATCAAGCTTGTAGTACTGCGACAACTGTAACATCTTTTCGCCGCTCTCGTCTATGATTGCAAATGGAATATGAGTGATCAACCCCCCCTCAACGATTGCTTCTGATCAATACCCTACGCGGATCCTGTCCCTCCTGCGAAATCCAATAATCTACACAGAATATCAGCGCTGGTGATGAACCCAAAGTGGTATAGATTACTTACCTCGTCACTTAATTGGAAAATTCCTGTGCAGCGTAAAGGCATTTGTTTGTATCGTCTTATTCCTTCCAAAATTGTCATGGTCGGCGCAAATTATGCTCGTGTTGAAATCAGTTGTATTTGTTTTCTCTGCTTATTGGGATTAAAGTGCTCCAATGTACTATGTTGTTTGATAGTCTTTTTATATCTATTTTGTAATCCATCGTGCCCTTGTTGCAGCCATTTTCCATAGGAGCTGATCTTTATGATTCGTATTCCAGCGGCCTGAATTGCCGCAAGCTGCCCGGCCTTCAGCCATCCGCCACATGCGACACATGGCGTGCAATTGACTGCCATTGACATCAATCACTGAGTGCTGCAATTTGCTTCTTGGCCCAATGCATTGGTTGGGGTTTGTCGATTTCGAGTCATCCCACCATCTGCCATTTTGGCCCGTCAATCATTGCCATCTCGTATTTTGCGGCAAATAACAGATGTCATTCATTCATTGTGTCGCGATCACAATGTATACTCAGGCACAGATAGCTTGCGACCGGCAGTTTGACAACACTGTGTATTTTATTTGACTACAAACACAAAACAGCGATACAGTAATTACAATAACACTTCATGGAATACGATATTTTTAGTCTCTGCATTTTTGATGTCCTTTGACATGCAGACCATAATTTTATCAGCGCGTGTGCATCTCGACAGCGCGACATAGAGTTGTCCGTGGGAAAACACTGGACTTGGTAAAAAAACCACAACGTTATTGACACTTTGCCCTTGTGACTTGTTGACAGTCATGCAAAAAGCTGGAGCAATCGGGTATTGGAACCTATAGAAAGGGAGTGGGCACGATGACCCTCCTGTATGGTGCAAATTGATCCTTGGCAAGGTTACTAAGTCGCCCACTCGGCTTCCCGTTATAATCCGACATGACAGTATCCTCCTCCCGACGTGGGTAACAACCATTCTCGTTCCATTACATAGGCCCCGTTTCATGTTCAGGTTGCGCAGTAATATGATTGGCATACCGGCTTTCAACCTTAATGAATGCACCGGAAAATTTGGCACTATAAAGCTATTCAGCATTTTGGGTGTTAAAGGTTCACACGTCGTAGCATTGTCATTAGAATCGATGGAGTCGGAGTAAAATACTTCACCTCTCAAGTGATCCATGACCTCGTCATTGACGTTTGCTACGTATTTGTTTAAATGTGTGATGATGCATCGCTCCCCGTAGTACGTCCCGAGGTCAGCCCATCGTCCCTCCTCAATCAAAGAATTTGCTTCACTGTACAAATTTAATGCCACTTCTTCATCGTAGGTCTTTGTTGATGGGACTGTTTTGTGTGCAATATGTTGGAGCGTAATATCCTCTTCGGTCTCAGATTGTAATTCTCCTGAACCTACTTGTAACAGCCATTGTCCATACTCAATGTTTTGATTCGCGACGTTGGAGGTTACGTTTGCACTGGTTAGACGAACGTTGAGAGTCAAACGGTGCCGTCTCAAAGTGTTCCATAGATAGGAACATCTCAAAGAAGCTTCCGCCTGGGCGCCGATTGTGCCTCTAGGAACTACCGGCAGTGTTTGCCGAAAGTCGCCCAAGAAGAGGACCATTATACCACCAAAGGCAGTGTCTGTACCTTGAAGCTCGCGTAGAGCACGGTCGACACAGTGGATGTCCGCTTTATTTTGCATCGAAATTTCATCCCAGACTATCAGTCTCAGCGAGGTTAACCGCTTACTCAACGCGTCTCGACCTGACAGCTTGCATCTTGAATTGTCGTCCGCATTGATAGGTATTTTGAAGCACAAATGTGCGGTTATACCTTTGAGTAGAATAAGAGCTGCTATACCCGAAGAGGCGACGGCTGCAACTTCGTGTCCCAACGCGTTACAATAGTGCAAAATGGCATTTAACAAAAACATCTTTCCAGTCCCCCCCGGTCCATCCAAGAAGTGCAAGGTAGCTCTTTGTGTAGCGATGTCGTGTTTGATTTTTCGAAAGATTTCAAGTTGGTCGTTGTTCATCAAATCGAGGGAACCTTCCAATATTATTTCACTTTCTTCGGCAGTAACTTCGTCTTCTTCGTCCAGGTCTATCGACGCCGAGTATGACCTTAAAATGAATTTATTTGGTTGGGGCAGCCCTGCTCCCAGTAACGTCATGCTTACTTCCTCCAGCGCAACAGCCATTCGACACAGCCCTAACGCCGTAACCATTTCTTCGGTCGGAAGCTCCATTGGATGGTATTGCAACATTGCATATTTACAATCGTCACACAGATACACGGCAAATTGATTCCAAATTTTAAGTGGATCGGCCGGTGGTCCGAATTTTAGGATGATTGCAAACATCACTCGGAGTTGGTACGCACTGTGCACTCTGGCGCATTCGTCCATCGCTGCAATGTAGTGATCGTCGTTTAAGAGTAAACCTTGCGCCACAGCGGCCAAATTATACGTTGGGTGGATGACTCCATCGACAGTTTGCAAATCTTCAAATGATGTCGGTCCTTTTACGTGCATAAGCAGCAACCACATGAAGTATTGCTCCCCCTGGCCGAGGCTGGCGTAGTAAACACGTGGGATGGTTTTTGAACTTTGGACACGAAGTTTCCAACGCTTCTGATCCTTGTCCCACGAAAAATTATCGACAATTTCAGGGTACGTCAACGTTTTGACACTCTCCTTGCCTCCTTTGATCTTCGTGTCCCGTTTGCATAACGCGAAGAACTCTGTCAGCGTTGTTCTTGCTGCTTTGCCTGACGCCATTTGATTTTTCAGCAACCATTTGTTTTTGAAGTACACAGTATTCTCGCGAGGCAAATGGACTGCCAACTTTTGCACTGCTGGAAAGCGCAATGACATCCAAAATTCAAACAGTCTCCAGCACGCTGTTGGAGTTAACCATACAGATTAGCAATCTTGCTCGATTTACAAATGTTTAATCTGGCACTAACCTTCTGTGCCAGTTAGAGTTCGACCATCCACATAGGTATCGATTTTGTTCTCGGCGGTTATTGACAAAGCGGCACGGTCATGCCCCTTGGTAATGTACTTATATAAATATTTCAAGGACTGCATGCTTGATGCCACTTCAACATTTATGTGACAGTTGAATCGCAACAGCAGGTACGGATTATAAGGCGCGACATCGCGATTAGTGTAAGTGTACCCCGCCTTAACAAAGGTTCGTCCATTGTTGCGTCGACGATAGTTGGGGTAGGTGTCATCTGTCATTGTCGTTTCTTCAGCATACTCTTTTGGAAAACCAAACCGTCACTTTCCATTGCGCCAACAGCTCCCATCGACCTTGCACGGTCCATGCAGCATCGATTTTGTGACAATGGCCCACAGATCGGGTTCGGCGTCGCGGTCCGGGATTTCTGCTTGTACAACCAAGTCAACTGCATCCGGAGTTCGTGGGCATGAAGCAGGTTCCATGATTGGAATGAAGTGAACATGAGGGCGACCTCGACCCTGGAATTCAATTGTTCGGACGTGTGAGAGACAGGTGCCAAGCCGGCCATCTTTAGTGACACATCACATCATCGCCTTCATTTTCAATTGGAAGACCCGTGTCATTATGTCGGGTCGATCCATCGCGGTCTGCCCAGATGCCAATTGAGATTGAATTTCGGACCAGTTGTCATTTGCCGTCATTGTGATGAAATATGACGGTTGGCCAAAGTGGCGGACCAGCGCCATCGCGTCATGATAAAGTTGTACCATATTTCGTGCTCCCCCAATGTGTCCAGCTGGTAGAATAACACGCCTTCCAATCTTAAAATCGTTCCTGCCGAGAGATTCTTTGGCTCCGGAGTAGAGCTCGGCGTAGAGTACATCCTGATTCAGTCTAAACCAACGGAGTCTTTGATTCTCGACGCACGCATACAAATCGATAGAGAACTCTTGTAGCAGCATTCTTGAGGCGAGTATAGGCAAAAACTCATCTCCGCGCTGGAAGAGAAGATATGCAAACCATTGCAAAGAAGTAACAGTATCTCCGTCGTCTGTCAATGCCAATTCAGCGTCAGCAGCGTGTAAGAACATTTGCATTATTCAACTCACTATTTGGCGTAGGTACTCGGTAGTACTCGTCGTAGCCAACCTGTCCCCAGGGGAACAGCACCGGATAACGTAAAGGCAGATAACCTGTGTGCCGCTCAGAGACTCTTTCCCAGGTGCCATTTTCACTATGAAGTATAAGGTCGCGATCTCTTTCTCCAACGTCGCCACCACCGGCTACAATCATAGCTACCTCTTCAGTTGTAGGCCGACAATAGGTACGGAGATCGTGACCTTCAGCGCCAGTTGCAGTCGGCGGAATAGATTTCAATTTCAGAGAGATCGATTTTGTTGGTGATTCTTGAAGGATTTGCTCTGCCATTTTGAATTGCCTTGCGTAAGGATTGTAATCGTACATGAATTCCTGAATTTCGGCGATGATATCCTCTTCGAGGTCCTTCGACCGGGACATGGACTTTCGGTGTGCAGCCTTGTTCTTGAGCTGATTACTCAGCACGTAAATTTGTGCAAAGGCTGGGTCACTTCTGGGCCTTGGTAACATAAGACCCATGTTGTGATATAATGCACCCTGGATTTTGAAACATCGCACCCCGTCGGGTCCATCGACTGTGTGATTGACTTCGGCACCGAGATATGTGAAAGATAAACAGTTGTTATAGGCTCGAATATTCTGTTGAAAATTCTTGCTGCCTATTTGCAGGAAAGGCATAAATTAATACAATTCACACCAATCACAAACACTCTTTACTTACGCGCATCGTCACCAGTATACAATTTTTGTAAAAACTCGGGAACAGGCGGAAAATTGAAATAGTGTTCTGGTAGAAGAACTTTCCCACTTTGGCAACATGTAGGATATGTGGAGGGACCAGTGTTTGCCGTATCCCGAGTCCTCTCCTTGGCCCAATGCAGTGCGTCGCACGTTGAACATACGTCGTTACAATCACCAAGTCTATGGGGGATTTCATTTTGAAATCGTAGCAGAATGGAGTTCTTGTTATTCTCCCATTGGGCTCGGACTGCGAGTTGTGGCATTGAGATAAGACAGTCTCGGCGTT